AGAGCATCTACTTTCACGCTCACTGGTTGCAGCCCATATGATCTCCAGACTGATATTATCAGGGCATTGCTGTGGTAAACTACTACACTCTGAACTGCCTGGAGCTTACAGTAACCAATACACTAGGTCTGCAACTGGCAGAGGGTGAGAGCTGTGCGTGGCCTCAAGTCTTGGGAATCAAGGCTAATAATTTAAAGGTTATTTTGGAGACAATGGGCTTTCGGGGGCCCACTCGGGGCTCTAGCCTGGCTCAACTTCCCCCTCCCTGGCAATTTAAAAAGCTTATACAATAGCTAATAATAATAGTAATAATAATAATAACAATAATAATATAATTTGTAGAGGGTATTTCACCTTGTGGAACTTAACCTGTTTTACAAGTGTATATATAGGAAATTGGAGGGATCATAAAAGAGCAAGAGTACAGATCATTAACAAAGCAAAACAAGTTGTAAACCAATAACAGATGGGTGTAAACTATAACTCAATGTTTTGAAGAGAAATGGTGGAGCCTTTCCGACTTAAAGTGACACTATAAACACAATAATAATCACTGCAACTTATTGAAGTCATTTTGGTGAAAGAAGTCATTGGGCACAGTCAAAGCCCACCCTATCATTGGCTGCAAAGACAAGGAAGATTTTTCACTTCCTCAATATTGGACCAAGTTTGGATGTTAATGATATGTTATAAATGTGGTGCTGGGGCAGAGCCAGCACCTGCACGAGCTGGACGCACATCGAGGCAGCTTTGTGCGTTAAACCCGCTAAACCGAGCTAATAACTGTTCCAGACGCCGCTATTCAACTCCAAGGGCACCAGCTCGACGCCCAAAGCCATAGGGAAGAAGTCAAAATAACACAGAGCGGACCTGGGCTCGACTACCGCGATATCGGCGATTTTCTCCCCACAACCCCGAGGCCAGACACAGCCAAGATGGCGCCGGCTGAGGCCTACATAACGACGTCGTTGAATGATGACAGTGCCACCGCCGACTTCTTCCCTCCATCCCAGCTATGCTCAGGGCCACAAACAGCTGCTGAGCTGGCAGAGTCTGCACCATCAACCAAAGCAGACATCAGGGCACTAATAGCTGAAATTAAAACTATGTTTAATGCGGACATGGCCCCGATCCGGTAACTAAACTTACAGACAAAGTGCAAGCTATGGAGGAAGGCATGGAGGGCACCAAACTGGCACAATCAGCCACAAATGCCGCAATACTTCAAAAACAGTGCGCAGACCAACAGGCACAGATAGCTACCATGGAGGATAGAGCCAGAGTCCGCAATCTAAGAATCTGGGGGGTACCGGAAATGGTTGCAGGAGCAGTACTTTCCCACTACTGCCGGAGGCTCATCACCACACTGCTAATGCCCAAACAGGCAAAACAAGTGGTGGTAGACTCCTGTTTTCACTTTAACAAGGCTTCCAGCGCTGCTAACGAATCACCCAGAGACACCCTGCTAAAACTGGCCCAGGACTTCGACCACAAAGTAATCATGTGGGCTGCGAGAGGCTCCTCTATGGTCTTGTTTAAGGGGGCACAGCTGATATTTTTTCGGGACTTCTCTAGACACACACTAAAACCTGGCAAAAATCCCTCAAGCCAGTCACCTAGCTACTGCAAGAGTACTCTATCCCCTACAAGTGAGGCCTATGCCAAATCCTGGTTGATAAAGCCAGCAAGCTGCACACATTGACATACCTATCAGGAGCACCTACTTTTCTTCAGCACCTAGGCATACTAGCAGAGAAGGCACTACAGACGGATCGTCCGGCATGGACAGTTGAAGAAATCACTCCTTTCGTACCCAGAAGGGGGGACATGAGATGAACACCTCACTCACCTGAAGGCTGCACCCACGGATACCCATATTATTAGTTCACAGTTTCGTGGTCTGCAAGACTGACTGTCTCCGATACCCACTGCTTATACACCTATACCATTTCCTTATGTTTAAACTGGCTCCGTAAGCTGCTGGACTAGCCCTGTGTTAAGTTATATCCCTCCCCACCCCCCTTGTCCCCTTTCATACAACGTGCAAAGGTCTAAAGTTTATTACCTTTTAATTTTAAGCACACTCATGCACGCATGGCCCACATCCTAGACCTTCCACTCAAGCAACAGCCTTTCAAGCAAAGTACTACCACTTACGAAGGCTAGTAAGCTAACTACCTATCTCACTAAGTGCCTTAGAGAAGCCCATGGCTCCCAACGTTAAATTGACAAGAGCGATGAGGTGCTACAAGACCTAAGGCCAGACCCCTTCATAGAACTAGACAGCCCTACCGCAAACTGCCCCCCAAAAAAGGGAATCCTAGTCACTGTTATTTAAAAATTAATGGAATAATGTTATGTTTCTATTTACCAGGAAAGGTTAAAGGATCTTAACATGTATAGCTTGGAGGAAAGACGAGACGGGGGGATATGATAGAAACTTTTAAATATATAAAGGGAATCAACACAGTAAAGGAGGAGACTATATTTAAAAGAAGAAAAACTACCACAACAAGAGGACATAGTCTTAAATTAGAGGGACAAAGGTTTAAAAATAATATCAGGAAGTATTACAGTTGAAGTGGTAGAGGTTAACACAGTAAAGGAGTTTAAGCATGCGTGGGATAGGCATAAGGCTATCCTAACTATAAGATAAGACTAGGGACTAATGAAAGTATTTAGAAAATTGGGCAGACTAGATGGGCCGAATGGTTCTTATCTGCCGTCACATTCTACGTTTCTATGTTTCTATGAGACCTTGAGTTCCTCGCTATTGTGCCATGCTTGTTTTTGTATGTTTCATGTGTCCTGTTATCTGTTAGCGATCATTTGCAAAAATAAAGAAATTTGAATAAATGCGGTGCTTAGTTTCCCCTTTGGTGACAACCTATTATTGCTGTCTAAATTTAGATGGTGTTTGTAGTGATTATTGAAAATGGTCTCAACAGCTGATAAGAATTTGCTCGTTGTGTGCTCGGAGAATCCTATTTTTGTTAAACCACCTTCAAAGGGTTTAAATAAAAAACAAGAAGGACTGCACCTAGAGACTAATTGCACTATAAACACTACAATAAGCAGTGGAAGTAATTGTGTACAATGTTCCAAAATATTCAAAAATTATCAAATCGATTATCTTTTAATGACGTAGAGAAACAGAGGTGGTGGAAATAAATGGAACATATGTTGCAGATCTTGACTTTAGTCTCCCATACGATTTGGAATAACTGCAAAATAGATAAAGTGAAAAAGCCAGATTTGAGCGTTGAACTCAGTCTTCGGGTAAGAAGCCCTGTGATACCGAACCTGCAACGTCAGAAGGTTTTGAGGAGATAAGTGTTCTAGAATGGTCTATATTCACCAAGCAGCTGCAGAAAGGAAGGCGTGACTGCCGTTTAAGGCTAAACATGCTGAGTAATGTCAGCATTGCTGTGTTTCTACAAAGTTTCAAATGGGAGAGACCAAGAATGCAGATAATAAAACAGGTTTGAATACAAAGACTTCTTACTGAATGGTTAATAAAGATGGTCAAACAAAGGCCAGGTATCAGTGGACCCAGAAGATCATTAATGGTTAACAGTATTAAACTGTTAACTCAAAGCAAATACTTCCAACAGTGCCCTATGAGCCTTCCCCATTCTCGTTAATGCACACACATCCATAGAGCCCAGACACATATTCTCAGATATCTGTAAAATACAATCTCAAATAAAAAAAACCACAATTGTATCTGTGCAACCTCCAATACAAACACACACAATGATGCTGGTATATACTCATACATCACAGAAAGCTAAATACAGTGCAAACATACATGTGCAAACACACCCTCTACTGATTGTAGATGTGTACACTCTGTAAACACACACGCACAAAGCAGAAACCTAATCACCTGTGGCCACAAAGCAGTTCCATAGATCTGTTCTTAGGAAGCTGGAACCCTATTTGTACCAAAGGGGACATTGATTTACTGCTAAGAAAACATACAGTGCACCTATTGCTCTAAAAATAGTCATAAGCATCCTCTGGTACACTGGCTACTGTGGACAGACTCCTATGATGATCTGCTAGAAGTCAAGTTAACGCTCTGCTGCTGGTCTCACTTGATTTATGTTATTCACAACCTCCCCAATCTGGTAGTTGTTCCAATTTGTGATGCCTGTCCCACACTCCTGGTTTAAATGTCCCCAGTAAATGAATCAACACAACAAATCAAGGTAATGACAGGAGTCTATAGCAACTTAGTACCACCTTAGTTTTTGCCCCTACCTAACAATGTGGTTCTCCTGTCTTACCTATCCTTAAACACCTCGTAAAACTAAGACCCCCTAAAGCTTCATTGTGGGGTACACTTCCAACCCCCAAATAGCCTTTTTAATAATACCCTTTTTTCAGATGTTGATGCTGCTGCAGTCATAGGACCAGGGTTGTTATTGCATTATTCTACTTATCCAGTACATTTTCCAAGTCAAGTCCAGTTTTTGTTTTTAACCAAGATTTTATTTGTATTTACAATTTCCTTTTAATCCACACCCAATCGAATCGATCCATCTGGGATTTACCTGTGGAGTCATATCCAATGAATAATGAACTAACAGAACTTTGTTATTTCACCAAGTTACTTTGTGTTGTAGGTAGCTACCTCTTCCATTGAACTAAACATCTGCCTTGTTACAGATACACAAGGACCAGTTAATTTATGATTCTGCTCAATCATCTGAGGACCAGACCTTCCATCATTCCATGGATCTTATTCTATGGTGTTAGATCTTGCAATATCATACGAATAATATATCGATGCACAGGTGAAGGTCAGGCAGCTACAGGGGTTCCGCAGAGGAAATCCCCCTCTTTCCATATAGAACTTCTGCTCTAGCACTGAGCCTGCTAATCACGTTGGGATTAGACGCATTAAACCAACCATTAGCTTCCCTGCTTACCGTGGTAATCCTCTCCGCTCCCCCCAGATAAACACATTCCTTCTCAGCTTAGACAATGTTGGCTGGGGGCAAATGCACAGTCCTCAAAGCAGGGTTTGTTTTACGTGTTCTTTTCCATTAGTATAAGGAAACGGATTGAGAGATGAGGAGTGAAAAAAACACTGCAAGCTCATGTAGTGTTGGTTTAACTCTATAACCGGGGTTTAGCAGCCTCTGTTAGTGTTATTGCTATGGCTTACAATTCCCTTTCATTGAACGATTTTAGTCAATCATGAAATTATTGTGTATGCATCTGTGTGCAACCACAGCACTGTCCATGTACACCCTCATAATTCGTATCCCCTTGTCGCTTCAGGAAGTAATATAACCTTACATAGCAATATATACACACACACATATATATATATATATATATATATATATTTAAATGATTAAGCAGTTACCCCTCTATTTCTTACTCTAATTGCACTTTAGCACTTAAGTGTCTCGGTTTTCCCACAGACACATTTAAAGCTGTGCAAGGCAGGTGGTTTTGTCATGTACACCAGTACTGACCATATCCTATTCAGTTCTACCAATGCTCGCCCCTTCTGGTGTGATTAACTCATCAAAAGTATTTTATTTCATGTTGACAGGGCAGAGTTGCTTGTGAGATGTAAAATCGGATCCATTTAGATAGACCATGTAATTGAATTTAGTATCAATCTTTTTCCCCATATTTCATATCCACATTATGTATAGTGTTCATTTTCTTCACTCCTCACTTTAGTATTAGCAAATTTAGAAAAATGACCAATAACTTTGTTTTTTCATAACTCTCAACAATACAAATGGCCAATGAGAGGACACTTCTTTATTTAGTGGGAATGATGGGCAAAATGGTAGCTTCCTATCTTTCTTGGAACTACCCATCCTTCCATCTGAAAAAGTATTATTAGAGTTGAGTTCTGTAAAAGCTGGATATCTGACACCATAATATAGTACAGGTGATACTCGAAAAATTAGAATATCGTGCAAAAGTTCATTTATTTCAGTAATGCAACGTAAAAGGGGAAACTAATACAGTATATGAGATAGACGCATTACATGCAAAGCAAGATAGTTCAAGACGTGATTTGTCATAAGTGTGATGATTATGGCTTACAGCTCATGAAAACCCCAAATCCACAATCTCAGTAAATTAGAATATTGTGAAAAGGTGCAATATTCTAGGCTCACAGTGTCCCACTCTAATCAGCTAAGTAAGCCATAACACCTGCAAAGGGTTTCTGAGCCTTTAAATGGTCTCTCAGTCTGGTTCAGTAAGAATCACTATCATGGGGAAGACTGCTGACCTGACAGTTGTGCAGAAAACCATCATTGACACCCTCCATAAGGAAGGAAAGCTTCAAAAGGTAATTGCAAGTTGGATGTTCCCAAAGTGCTGTATCAAAGCACATTAATAGAAAGTTATGTGGAAGGGAAAAGTGTGAAAAAAAAGGTGCACAAGCAGCAGGGATGACCACAGCCTGGAGAGGATTGTCAGGAAAAGGCCATTCAAATGTGTTGGGGACTTTCACAAGGAGTGGACTGAGGCTGGAGTCAGGGTATCAAGAGCCACCACACACAGACGGATCCTGGACATGGGCTTCAGATGTTGTATTCCTCTTGTCAAGCCGCTCCTGAACAGCAAACAATGTCAGAAGCGTCTTACCTGGGCTAAAGAAAAACAGACCTGGTCTGTTGCTCAGTGGTTCAAAGTCCTCTTTTCTGATGAGAGCAACTTTTGCATCTCATTTGGAAACCAAGGACCCAGAGTCTGGAGGAAGAATGGAGAGGCACACACTGCAAGATGCTTGAGTTTTCACAGTCTGTGTTGATTTGGGGAGCCATGTCATTTGCTGGTGTTGGTCCACTGTGCTTCATTAAGTCCAGGGTCAACGCAGCAGTCTACCAGGAGATTTTGGAGCACTTCATGCTTCCTTCTGCAGAAGAGCTTTATGGGGATGCTGACTTCATTTTCCAGCAGGACTTGGCACCTGCCCACACTGCCAAAAGCACCAAAGCCTGGTTCAATGACCATGGGATTACTGTGCTTGATTGGCCAGCAAACTCGCCTGACCTGAACCCCACAGAGAATCTATGGGGCATTGCCAAGAGAAAGATGAGAGACATGAGACTGAACAATGCAGAAGAGCTGAAGGCTGCTATTGAAGCATCCTGGTCTTCTATAACACCTCAACAGTGCCACAGGCTAATAGCTTCCATGCCACGCCGCATTGAGGCAGTAATTGCTGCAAAAGCGGCCCAAACCAAGTACTGAGTCCATGTGCATGCTTATACTTTTCAGGGGTCCGATATTGTTCTATGTACACGCCTTGTTTTATTGATTGCATGTAATATTCTAATTTACTGAGATTGTGGATTTGGGGTTTTCATGAGCTGTAAACCATAATCATCGCACTTAAGACAAATCATGGCTTGAACTATCTTGCTTTGCATGTAATGCACCTATCTCATATATTAGTTTCCCCTTTTACGTTGTATTACTGTACTAAATGAACTTTTGCACAATATTCTAATTTTTCGAGTATCACCTGTATGATCACCACACTATCAAGCTACACATTTATTTAAATAAACAGAACAGTAAGCTCTTTTATTCAACCTCAAACAAAAATCGCTTTCTTATTCCTCCTGGGAGGAATTGAATTGCCACAATATAAACGCAGTACAACTACATCTATTTACAGCATGCCCACTCCAAGCATAGCGTGTATTGGATCACTGGACTCCATTGGCTTATTCCAACCATCCCTCACTAGACTTTCACATTTTATCCCAAACATATATATTCCATGCAGATAACCTGAAATTACGAACCTCTAGAGATATATATGGACCGCTAAAGATATTTGTAGACTCAGTGTCCTATAACTCTTAGACACCTATAACCAGATGGCAAATTATAGTAGTTTACATCCATGGGGGGAGGGGGGGGGGGGTACAGTATCTTTGTATTGTCATTTGGCCATGGATATGCATATGTTTTGTCCACAATTTGTTTCTCTGATGATTAAATCGATTATACTATTCCACTAAAGGTCCCTTATTGGCACCCAGACCACTTCATCTCAATGAAGTGACCTGGGTGCAAAGGTCCAGTACATTTAGCCTCACAATGTAAAAACATTGCTGTTGTATAGATATGGCATTGTTTTAATTACAGGTTTAACACACTCCTGCGGCTGGACACAACGTGCAAACATACAAACAATCTCTTGAGAGAGTAAATAGAAGTTTAATTGGACACAATGTTTTGTGAATTTGATAATATTTTGAATGGCGCTGCATTAGTGAGTTACTTGGCTCTCAAACACCTTGTAAAGTTTGGAATATGATCATGAGAATGTCTTCTGTCAAGTGCTGAATATCACGTTCACATAATTACATTTTCCAGTGTTTATTTGTGACTCTATTATTAGTAAATAACAACAGAACCAGATAAATACATAATAGGGCAATACCAGTTACCTCCTCCCCAAAATTTTTTCCTTGCAACACATATGATATTTACCCACAGCCAGTTGCATTCATTTTTTTTCTCACCTTTCCTTCCTTATGTTCATTTTGTTTAATTGTACCTTGCAATTACTTTTTTAATATCAATACATGACCGTCAGAAACCAACATCCGCTTAGAACATCACCCAATATATATATTAATAGAATATTAACACAGGTATATGATGACCTGGTTTATTATCATAAAACATTAAATAAGATTATTTGTTAAAAGTTATTAAATCCCGCTAGGAACATTCATTGTCTCACACATACAGTGGTAAGAGAAAGTTTGTGACCCTTCAGATTTAGGTCTGGTCCTACATCCATTTGAACTACAACTTGAGTCTGAGTAATAGAGAAAATTAATCCGATTACATAAACGGGAAAAAAATCATAATTTTTTTATGTCTTTATTGAACATGTTGATCACAGTCTGTGTTGGAAAAGTATATGATCTTTTATTAAGGGTTAACTTGAGTTAGATTTTCAAAGCAGCATGATGAAAATTGGGTGTCAATTTGAGGGGCCTTACCCAATGACACACACCATGACTTGCATATTACATTGTTAGCCAATCAGTTAGTCATTGCTAAAGACTTTGGCAGGTAGGTAGTATATAAATATGAAGGAAATGCAACACAACGGTTACCTTCCAGTAGTGGTAATTAAACTAGATTCACACCAAGATCAAGGGATGCTATGCAGGAGGTATAATGTAATTGCTCAAGAGTCCACTGTAAGGTACACAATGAACACTGGTTATGTGTACAGTAATGAACAGGGCTTGACTGGAAGAAAAAAGTAATATGATGTCATATGACCTTGAATACGATATCAGGAATTTCTCTTATGTCATTATGATGTCATCATAAGGAGATAGCAGGGGAAAAGAAAAGCTTATATGTTTTAGTAACCACTTAAAGCGGCTGTCACCAAAAATAATGTTCATCTAATCTGCTTCTATAGAGCTCCATGTGTCTGATTCTTTTTTTTTTGCTCTAGTTTTCGTAAAATACATAAAGAAAAGTAGAGTAAATGTTTCCTTATGTACAGCAGACTAGTTGACAAAATGTGACAATGGGCGGAGCTTAAAGCAAGGTCCTGTTTCAGTTGCCAATCAAATCTACCCACAATCCATCAGTAAAATAAATCCCGTAGAAAGGCCAGTTGCAGATATCATCTCCAACCTAGCTCGTCGCAGGGCAGATTTTTTAACCTCAATTTTACCATTCAGGTTTTAATTCACTACAATTTGGAGTTTAGTGAATAAACTTGTATATTGTGTGTACAACGGTTCATATACTTTTCTCCAACAGCAAATTTGTGATCAATGTGTTTAATAAAACCTTTGAAAAATATAGTATTCGTGTGTTTTCTATTTGTTTATCTAGATATTCTTTCTCTATTAATATCACTTAGATCAATGGTTCCCAAAGCAGACCACTCACACCAGTGGTCCATATTTTGTCAGCATCTCCATTGGAAACAAATTGAGAAATATCTAAACCCTGGACTGTTCCAGCACAGGACTGGCCATAGGGCATACCATGAAGGTACTCACACAGCAGGCACCTACTCTGTCCAAATGTACAGTGCCCAGGAGGCAGCCAGAAGAGAGCTGTGTACTCATTGTGCTCTGGCTCCCTCACACTCCCTGTAGTGATACTGGGAGCCAGGATGTGACATCACTCTGGCCCCAGAATTACTACAGGGTACACAAGGGAACTGTGCAGCCAGAGCACTGTTATCCCAGCAGCTCCCACTGGTAACCCAAACAAAAACACAATAAATAAAAATGATTTGTGAGTGTCTACATGTGTATGTAAAAGAATGTGTATGTGTGTGTGAGACACTGTGCATGTGTATTTGTTTTTGTTTTTTGGGGGGGCAGGGGAGGCTCCAAAATTCTGGAGGCAGGCACATAAAAAGTAAATCTACCCTGTTTGGGGGCCCTGAGTGCAGGGCCGGACTGGAGATACAAAGCAGCCCTGGAAAAAAAAAATTGTGCCAGCTCCATAAGTCACTGCGCCATATATTGTCGCGTGTAATATATAAGGCTATGTCTTGCCATGACAGATGATTGAGTAATATATATATATATATATACACACACACAGCTTAATGTAGTGGTACTGGTGTCTATAGCATGTCCCTACAGGCTTTTCAACGTAAACACTGACTTTTCAGAGAAAAGGCAGTGTTTACATTGCTTCAAAGTGACACTGCTAGTGACAATCACTCAGACGGTCACTAGAGGTGCTTCCTGTGTTAGTGCACCTACATTCAGGGCCTCCACACTCTGTACGTGCTGAACGTTCCCCATAGAGATACATTGATTCAATGCATCTCTATGAGGAGATGCTGATTGGAGTGGTGTTTTGCAGCCAATCCTATGGCAAAGCATTGGATTGGCTGAGATCATCAAGCTTGATGATCTCAGCTATAGAGGCAGGGCCAGTCGAGGGGAGACCAGCACGCTGCGTGGGGAAAAAAAGGTGAGCAAAAACACTATTTTTAAACACACATATACACCATGACAGACACAGAAACACACATATACCATGACAGATACACACCCCATGACAGATACACACCCCATGACAGACACACACACCATGACACAGACAGGCACACATACCATGACACAGACAGGCACACACACCATGACACAGACAGGCACACACCCCATGACACAGACAGACACACACCCCATGACGGACAGACACACACACACCCCATGACGGACAGAGAGACACACACCCCCATGACAGACAGACAGACACACACCCCATGACAGACAGACACACACCCTATGACAGACAGACACACACCCCATGACGGACAGACACACACCCCATGATGGACAGACACACACATACACCATGACACAGACAGACACACACACACCATACAGACAGACACCATGACACACACACACCATACAGACACCATGACACAGACAGACAGACACACACCATACAGACAGACCATACAGACAGACACCATGACACAGACAGACAGACACACACACCATAACAGACAGACAAATTCACACTGACACATTACTAATACCTGCCAGGGGGAGGTCTTCTGGAGGCCGCTGGGGAGGTCTTCTGGCAGCCGCTGGGGGACTTGTACTGGCGGCCGCTGGGGGAGCTGCGCTGGCTCTCCCGCCCTCGCGCGCTGCTGAATGAGACCGGCGCCGGAATATGACATCATATTCTGGCGCCGGTCTCATTCAGCTGCGCGCTGGGGAGCAGAGCCAGCGCAGCTCCCCCAGCGGCCGCCAGTACAAGTCCCCCAGCGGCCGCCAGAAGACCTCCCCAGCGGCCGCCAGCAGACCCAGGTGTCTGCCCGGCCCCAGGTGCCGACGGCCCACCAGGAAATTTCCCGGTATCCCGGTGGGCCAGTCCGGCCCTGCCTGAGTGTGTGAGAGTCATGGTTATGTGGCTCTCACACAGACAATGCTGGACAATGCACTCATGATATCTGTGTGAGAAAAATAAAGATGTAGAATTCTCTGCCTAAAGAGGTTGTGTTATCAGATTCTATAGATAAATTTAAAAAAGGCTTGGATGCTTTTTTTGCAGAAACAGAATACTGAAGGATATATTTGATGTATGTAAACAGGTTGTTGATTCAAGGAGAAATCTGATTGCCACCAGCAAGAAATAATTGTTCCACCTTTTGTGGCATTATTGGAAATGGCTACAATTGTTTTAGTTTTTTGGTTTTTTTGCCTTCTTTTGGATCATCGACCTAAGATAATGGGGTTGTTATTGATGGACTTTTTTCAACCTAGATGACTATGTAACTATGTAATTGGGGGAGTAAAATGTGAGGAGTGTAAAAGGTGGCTGCAAAATGCATCTTTATCTAGGTAAAAATCCTAACACCAACCCTGTTGGTGTGCTATGAGGACTGGATTGGGAAGCATAGACTTTGATGAACATTGTCTGGCAATTTCGGCAATAAAGATAATGCTGAAGAGTTCACAAACCTTCATGGCTGTAAATGAAGCTGGAACTGTGTAACAAACAGACAAACTAACAAAACAAAAATAATCCCCTTCAAAAATTAAATTACAATTTATAAGTAGAAAAATATACTCTAAGACTGATTGTGCAGCAGCTGTGTTAAAGCAGATTTCCTTTAGAACATTACAATAAGACTTGTTCTAAAAAAATATATTTTCATTCATTCATTCAAGGAATATGACAACACCCAGGATCCGAGCATCTCCTGCCCTATTATATGTATTAAGCAGATAGTATATGACATTGCTAAGCCATTAAAAATGTAGTCTTTATGAATTGTACTCGTCAAGAGTATAGTTTATCTGTCTGGAGCAGTTAGCCCATGGCAACAGCAAGTTCAACTTATAAAGAGATAGCTTTTCATGGGCCTCACAAATCTTTATATTAATAATAACAGAGCTGAATATTTAGGCCCCAATGGGTTCAAAGTAATAATGGTCTGCACTATATTTGCAGGGCTAAAAATGCAACAAATACACAATTTTCCATGCCCATTGGATAGCTATTGTATGTTAAGAATATTGCAGTATTTTGTAGGAGCAATCAGCCAGGCAAATTGAAAATTAACATGGTTTGACCAAAAAGAAAGACCAGACCAGAGGTAGTCAACTTTGGCTCTCCAGTTGGATTTCAGCTGCCATGATACTGAACAAGGGCAGTTTGAAGGCCACTGATGATGGAAATAGCACTTTAAAGACAATTCATTTTCAGACTTTATACAGAAAGGTTATTTAGAGTTCCTTTGCATTGCTCTCCATAGGTTGGATGTTAGAAAATCATACAACTATCAGTTAATTAAAAACAAACAAATAAATAAATAATCAGTGCATCTTGTCCTCAAACCCCTCCTGGATTTTGGAACCAGTTCTTAGTTAAAATGTTCCTGTGGGGACAGGTGTGATGCAAGTCTCTGTTGTTTGACTGAGATGTGAATCCATGCTTTGGGATTTCTTGTGAGACAACAGGAAGGATGGAGAGGACATAAACATGGAGTGATCACCATTTTGTCATGAGCCAAAGATAAAAGACTATCAGGGCTTACTCAAAGATCTAAAAGCAAGTGATTGCTATTCTTGGTTGCCTCAAAAAGGTACTTACAATTTAACAGCATCCTATAACTGCCAAATATTGTGTTACTAGGAATGCTCCATTGTTGCCACTGATGTTCTGCACTGTCCAGCTACATCAGATATTACTGTGGACTCTAAGATTACAAGCTTACACAATCACAAGAAAAAAACAAAACTAATCTGCTTTTAAATGACTCCAAGTTACCTTGTTCCTTTAATAATAATTAATCTTTTTCATATAACATGCCAACGGCAGTCATCTGAAAAAATATTATAACATTAAAGAATGCAGCTTTATGGGTTAAACTAGCAGCTACTTGCGGAATGCCCTTATTGTCACAAGGCTTTTTATATTTTTAAACCTCTGTCCTTCTAGCAACAAAATAATTAGTTAGTATTAGAGCATTTGGACATTGTGTTGCTATTCCACTTAGATAACCCTGTTGAATCTACTCTTTGAAGCTACACCTTGACATAGGTCAGCAGAAGGATATCATGGGTCGTGTCCCTCCAGAACTGCAAAACCCTCACTTTTTAAGCAGCACCTTCAAATGTATCTATTTTCAACATGTGGTTAACTCAAGGCATATCCCAACCAAGAACTTGCTTAGCCAGCACATAGAGGATGTTGCAGTACCAATGAATCCCATTGCTCCATATCAGTTCTGGGAGAGTGGAGTATACACTATGGAGAAGTCTCAGAGGGGCAAAAGATTGATGTGCCAGTTGATGATATTCCATTGCTGCATAGCAAGATGTTAACACGCCATCCACTAGCAGGGTACCATGAGCAGTGAGTGGAGCATACACCCCAATGCCTTCCTGCCTAGACACCCTTGTGACTCTGGATGGTAGCAGTTGAGTGCCATTGACATGAACATGAATTAGGTCCCCGACTTGGACTCGATGAGCAAAGATTGGAATGAACTCTACTGATCGTTCTCTAGATACGAAGATCAGATGGTATGGTGTAAGGTGGAGCTTATGTGGGTGTTCCGTAGCTTCAATAACAACAAATGTGAAAAGTTTATCCAGATCCTTGTGCAAAAAGAGCAATACTTCTGTAGACATCAACTGTCCTGATTCGTCAGCAGTCAGCACTTCATCTCCGTACTGCAGTTCAGAGAGTGGTTTTCTTTGTCCACCAATCATCGTCACCATTGCAGTTCCAGGAAAACAGCCACCAGAACGGACAGCTACGGAGTTATCTGTAAGGAAGAAGATATTAGAGAGATAGCATTTGATACACCTTGGGTTTAAACTTTAAAAAAAAAAAAAATCATTGTAAGCTATATGTACAAGTCGAAGCTGAAAGAAAATTTTGTTCCCAGAAGAACTGTATTTTTGAAAGATGTCTGAAAACCGGAAGGCACTTGCAGAGTCGAGTAGCATTGCTGCTGATTGGTGGCTGAAAGCGGCCAGCTGACACTCTAAGCCAATCAATCAATTCATAAAACTTGCTTGAAAAATAACATGCCCTTTTCAAACAAGTTTTATGAATGGGGATTCACTTGTTGGCTGAGAACATCAGCTGACCGCCAATCAGCGGTGCCACTGCCCGATTCTGCAGGAGCACAAGGGACATTTGGCGCCAGAACACAGACTTTCAGGTTAAACTGCAAGAGAATTTCGTAAAATAATCCAGCGCCAGGGACCTCCTGGCACCTTAATAACTTAATTTCTGTAAAGGTGTTATGGTGTTATGGTGTTAAGTATTCTATGGCCCCTGATTTATCTTTGACTTGACTAGATTGTGTTTAAATAAATCTCCACGTCCTCTAACAATATTGTTCTCTTGTTATTTGTCATGGCATTTCTTTCTAAATGTAAACTGAACTCAACTAACTGTCCATGCCTTTCTACATCCAAAAAACGTTGACCTTTACTTTTCTCTCATGGCTTTTTTGTTTTTGTTTTTTAACCCTAGTTCGGTCTACCAGACCTCTTCTAGATTTGAATACAACTTGCTGATTAATATAAATATGTTCTCTTTTCTACCAATCCTCTATGACTCTTTCTGCATCATATCATTCCTCCAGGTCTTTTTCTCAATTCTAACACTACCATCTTCCCCGTGGGTCCGCTGCCCTCAACAATATTTTTTACCCCGCCAGTGCTGCTGGACCTGACACTCTAAGGAGGCCCACCGGGTGGCCCATACACTTAAGGTCATCTGGTGAGCTTGTATCAGCATGGGCCCGATCAGGCGTGGCCCTTTAAGAGTGTGACCGGGCCCCTTGCTTTTCGGCAGCATGGGAAGAAGTGACAGCCTAAAGTCACTTTCTCCCATAAAGAGAGGAGCTGCTGTGAGGGAGGGTTCAGGGCCAGATTAACAAAAGGGCCGATGGAGCTGCAGCAAAATACATTTATTTATTTTTTTACTATTCTTCACATGCTCTTGCTTAACCCCTTAAGGACTGAGCCAAATGTACACGTTTTGATCAAAATAAAACGTAAACAAAACTTGGAATTTGACTATATTTCTGTTCAACCGTAATTCACCTCTTTCATATTAAGTGCACCCACACTTATTATATATTTTTTATTATATATCATTTTATTCATAATACTGTTTGCTTTTACGGCAATAAAATACATATTTGTATTCAGCGATGTCTCACATGTAAAACAGTACGCCTTATGTACAGGTTTTATGGTGTTTTGGGAAGTTACAGGGTCCAATTTAGCATGTTTAATTTTTCAGTTTTTTCACATTCAAATTTGCCAGATTGGTTACGTTGCCTTTGAGACCATATGGTAGCCCAGGAATGAGAATTACCCCCGTGATGGCATACCATTTCCATTAGTAGACAACCCAATGTTTTGCAAATGGGGTATATACAGTCTTTTTTAGTAGCCACTTTGTCACAAACACTGGCCAAAGTTAGTGTTAATATTTGTTTGTGTGTGAAAAATGCAAAAAACTTATTTGAATTTTGGCCAGTGTTTGTAACTAAGTGGCTACTAAAAAAAGACTGGACATACCCCATTTACAATACTTTTGGTTGTTTTCTTTTGTAAATGGTATGCCATCATGGGGGTAATTCTCATTCCTGGGCTACCATACGGTCTCAAAGGCAACGTAACCAATCTGGCGAATTTTCATGTGAAAAAACTGAAATGCAAATTTTATATTTGACTCAGTAACTTTTGAAAACACCATAAAACATGTACATGAGGGGTACAGTTATACTCAGGAGACTTCTCTGAACACAAGTATTAGTGTTTCAAAACAGTAACATTTATCACAAGAATTATATTGTCAGTTTAAGTGCAGTTTGTGTGTGAAAAATGCAAAAAACTTCACTTTAACTGAAGATATAATATTTGTGTTCAGCGAAGTCTCCCAAGTAAAACAGTACCCCCGATGTACAGGGTTTATAGTGTCTTGGAATGTTACAGGGTTAAATATAGTGCCAGCTAATTAAATTTTCTGGACTTTCTGCCTGGGTTATCAGGCAGGTCCCGCAAATTGTAGATAATAAAATGACTTAATTATGTAAAAATATTACATAAATATATATGTAGAATTAAAATATATATATATTTAAATTATTTTTATTTATATATAGGTATATATATAGTGATATATACATATATATTTATGTATATAGATATACATATTATTTCATTTTAAGTGTATTTTGATATTAATATATATATATATATATATATATTAATATTAAAAAAAGTTAGAATGAAATTACACACATATATATGTATATATATTTTTTCATTAATTTTTTTTTTTTTCATTTTTAACGTATTTATATATATATATATATATATTTTTTATATTATATATATTTATAATTATGAGATGCCAGGTAAGTCCCCCATCGCAATGTCCGGCGTGGGATCGTCGGCGAGCAGGTAAGCACCCTGGACGGTGTGGACTATAGCATGCCTGCCATCCTTAAGGGGTTAAGTATGGAAACTTAAGAGGGATGTAGGGGAACAAAACTTATTTGGACTGGCTGACAATGAATTTAGTTAAAGGACCACTCTAGGCACCCAGACCACTTCAGCTTAATGAAGTGGTCTGGGTGCCTGGTCCAGCTAGGGTTAACCCATTTTTTTTTTATAAACATAGCAGTTTCAGAGAAACTGCTATGTTTATAAATAGGTTAATCCAGCCTCTAAAGCCTCTAGTAGCTGTCTCATTGACAGCCGCTAGAGGCGTTTGCGTGCTTCTCACTGTGAAAATCACAGTGAGAAGACGCCAGCGTCCATAGGAAAGCATTATGAATGCTTTCCTATGAGACTGGCTGAATGCGCGCGCAGCTCCTGCCGCGCATGCGCATTCAGCCGAAGAGGAGGTTCGGAGGCGGAGAGAAGGAGGAGAGTTCCCCGCCCGGCGCTGGAAAAAAGGTCAGTTTAACCCCTTTCCTCTCCCCAGAGCCCGGCGGGAGGGGGTCCCTGAGGGTGGGGGCACCCTGAGGGCACTATAGTGCCAGGAAAATGAGTATGTTTTCCTGGCACTATAGTGGTCCTTTAAGGTAAAGCTGAATTTGCGCACTATGCAAATGCTCTTGCTGCTTCAGTCTCTCTAACACTGTGGCATATTCCTTTCTTCTACACTCACTACATCCACTTTTTCTCTGTCCCAGACTATATAACAGGAGCTTCTGCCTGCATATGTATCTGTATGTGTCATTATGTCTATCAGTGTATGTGTCTGTGTATGTGTCAGTATGTCTGTCAGTGTATGTGTCTGTGTATGTGTCAGTATGTCTGTCAATTTATGTATCTGTGTGTGTCGGTATGTCTGTCATTGTATGTATTTGTTTGTGTCATTATGTCTGTCATTGTATCTGTATGTGTCTGTGTATCTGTATGTTGTCAGTGTGTGTATCTGTGTGCGTATCTGTATGTAGTCAGTTTGTGTACCTGCATGTGTGACAGTGTGTGTACATGTGTGTCTGAGCATTTGAGCATCAACATTAAATACAAATACATTCCTCCATTCGAACTGCAACATTACATACAAACATACTCCTGCAATGAAACGTCAACACTACATACAAACACACCTCTGTGTTAAACACCAAAATTATATATAAACACAACCATACATTCAAAAACCAACACTAAACCTAAATGCACGCTTGCATTCAAACTCTAACACCACATACACACAAACATACTCCATACAAAAACATGCTTACATTCAAACACAGTGCTAAATACAACCCTGCAAGCATGAGAAATTGGTAGAGCCCCAGCTGTCAAAACATTGTTGGAGTTGTACGACAGCTAGGGTTTTACCTTTTGTCCAACCTTGCAATTGGGGGCCCAATAAAATTCTTGCACCAGGGCTCTTTCTACTTTAGTTCTGCCACTGCGTTGGGATGGAAGGCGTAATGGCATGCAAGGGAGTGGGTTCAGGGGGCCCAAGCAAATCCTTGCCCAGGGTCCAATCAATATCAAAAGGGGCCCTGGTTCGACCTCTGATTCCGACATAGAACATGACCAGTCAGATGACTGAGTTTTTGAGTAGTGGATCAGTGTCATTAAATTTATTACAGTGCCTAGTGTGTTCCTTGTTTTTTGTTGTTTGTTGATGATGCGTTCTTTTTAAAATATGATTTGATATAAGACATAATATAAATAGGTAAAGGCAAGACTGCATTCTCATGATTAGGCCATTTTCATCCATATGCCATGTCTGCCTCATATGCTAATTTTCTTTTCTATAAAACATTATTACAAAGTATGATACTGTTCCTTTGTACTTTTTGTTCTCAGAATTGTTACATCATTATAATTTATTTAAGTTACAAATAGTCCAAAAAGACAGACATTCACTCCCACTGACTGATAATATAACATGTATCCTAATATAGTACCTGCTTTCACAGAAACATGAATGTGTGCTTTGGATTCATAGTACACCCAGTCAAAGCCAGCTTCTACTGCCAAACGGGCCAACATTCCGTACTTGCCCCTGTCTCGGTCTGATGTTGTAATGTCCAAAGCTCGTCCTTCGTAGTGCAGGGAGTCATGAGAGTGATGACCGTCCTCATCCCAACCTTCTGTAACCCGCAGCCTTACACCTGGCCACATGTTCATTACAGAGATAGCCAAAGCATTCACTCTGTCCTTACAGCGCTGCAATAAAATAGGGAAATATATTACATTGCGAAGAGAGTTGTTTTTTTTTTTTTTTATACATAGCTGAAATTATATCTCTTATTATCAGTCTGCTCTGAAAGGCAGCAGAGGGATGATGGTGTTAATGTTTATTTTTTGTAGGTTTGAATTGCCTTTCTAACTGATCTACGACAGTGTACAATGCCTTTTTTGCTTGACATTAGTGAACACCCAGATTTGGACCATCATAACGTCACCTTTGAATGCTTTTGACATGCTATATATAAGATTGGTTGGAAAGTAATTTGAATCAAACAATACAGTGTTTCTACCCATGGCAGATGAAAGACAGGGGTTTATTTAACATCAATAGCCTTTCAAAATCCAAAGCATAACTAACGTTTCAGCAGAAATAGTTTAAGATCAGTAATAGGTTTTTTTTTTTATTGCTATACAGAGAATATGCAGTTTTTCATTAAATAAAATATAATATAAAACATGGGACCATGGCTGTCTACCAGACAACCGCTAGAAGCATTTCCTGCATTTACACAGAACTTAACTACATGAAATAACACTGGACATCCTCATGCTTTGCATGTTTCAAAAATACCATAGGAAAGCATTGACTCAATGCTTTTCTGTGGGGAAGCCCTAATGCGCACACTTGCTGTGCATGAGCATTAGGTTCCCAAATTGCTGTGATGTCACAGAAGGATGGACCTCAGGTAAATGAAAAAAGGCTTTTTAACCCTTTTTTGGGTGGGGTGGGACAAAGCGCTGCTGCTAATGGACAATGTAGTGTAAGAATACAGTTCTATTATCAAATGCCAATGTAGGATTATAAGATGTTATGCTTGCAAAGTTAAGTTAATACATTCATTAAAATCACTTTAATCACCGTATATTTCTTTGGGGGGGGAGGGGACCAACTGACATGTAAAGCTGTCTCTACCCAGACACTCTAAGCCAGGGTTTCCCAAAGTGTGGGTCGCCGAGTGATTCCCAGTGGGTCGCACTGACCCACACATCCAAGGCCGCCGGGGACTCGGGCAGGCAGGGAGACTGATAGGTGGGGCCCTCAGTCCATGACTGCGGGTCCGACACCAGGAGGTGGCTTTCCCAGTCTGCCCGAGAAAGAGCCCAGACCTCCGGGAGCTCACAAGACTTCTATCACACGGTCGGCAGCTTTGCACCCGTCGGAGCTGCAGACTGCAGAGTCAACCCACTGGACTACCAGGGAGGGCACTGGACCACCAGGGAATTTATTCAATTAAAATTAAAGGTAGGACAGTCTGCCCCCCACTGTTACCCCTTATTTTCCTGTCCCCCACCCATGTAACCCTTCCTCACCCTGCCCCCCACTGTAACCCTTTCTCACCCTTCACGCCCCAATGTAACCCTTTCTCACACTGACCCCCACACGGTAACCATTTCTCACCCTCCAACCCCCACACTGTCACCCTTTCTCGCCCATCCCCACATTGTCACCCTTTCTCACACTGCCCCCCTATGCTGTCACCAGCACACACTCTCCCCCACACTGTCACTCTCACCTCCTGTATGTGTGTGTATGTGTATCTGTGTGTCCTTTTGCTTCAGTGTGTGTGTATTTGTGTGTTCATGTGTGGCTGTGTACATGAGTGTCTGTGTATCTGTGTGTGGGAAAGTCGGTGTCATTGTGTGTGTGTGTATTGCTGTGTCAGTGTGTATTTTTGCATGTGTGTGTTTATATGTGTTTCAGTGTGTGTGGAAGTGTATACACTGCACACAAATACACACCTGCATTCAAACACCAACATTCACAGACATACTCCATACAAAACATGCTTACATTTAAACACACATTGTGTATATGTATATTTTTATATACACAATATACACATGCACTGCAATCAAACACAAATATTACATACAAACACACCCTTGCATTCAGACGTAAACACTACACACAAGTACACCACTACATTCCAACGGCAACAGTACATACAAATACACCCATACATGCACACATATACTTCATACAAAAACATGCTTACATTCAAACGCTCAAACACTGCTCACGAATACAACCCTGCAACGATGGGCAAATGGTAGATCCCCAGCTGGCATAGCATTGTTGAAGTTCTCCGACAGATGGGGACCCACCTTTTGGCCACACTTGCACTAAAGGGGATTCCAGAAAATATACTTGCACCAGGGCCCTCTATCCATTAGTTTCACCACTGGGATACTCTACATGAGATGCCTGGATGAAGGAGTGGAACACAGCGCTTCTGATCCTGCCTCAGTCTGTGAGTAAGCAGTTGTAGGTCTCTCAAACTGATTGCCAGGATATGCCAAGTTTCTGCCTCTAACACTGCCATGATATGCCAAATGTATGCCTCTAAAACTGCCATGATATGCCAATTTTATGCATCTAAAGCTGATTGCCACAGTGTGTCAATTATATGCCTCTGAAGCTGATTGCCCTGATGTACCACGTTTATGCATCTAAAGCTAATTGCCGTAGTGTGCCAATTTTCTGCCTCTGAAGCTGATTGCCATGGTGTGCCAATTTTCTGCATATAAAGCTGCCCTGGTATGCCAATTGTATGCTTCTAAAACTGATTGCCATGGTGTGATAATGTTATGCTTATAAATCTGATTGCCATGGAGTGACACTTTTATACTTATAAAACTGATAGCCATAGTGTGCCAATTTTATGCCTGAAAAAATGATTGCCATGGTGTGCCAATTTTATGCCTCTAAAAATGATTGCCATGTTGTGCCAATTGTATGCATCTAAAGCTGATTGCCATGGTGTGCCAATTGTATGCATCTAAAGCTGATTGCCATGGTGTGCCAATTGTATGCCTCTAAAACTGATTGCTATGGTGTGCCAATTTTATGCTTATTAAACTGATTGCCACAGTGTGCCAATTTTATGCCTCTTAAAAGTGATTGCCATGGTGTGCCAATTGTATGCCTCTAAAGCAGATTATCATGGGGTTCATTTTTAAAATATGCATTCAAAGCAAATGGGTCTAGAAAAATTAACATTCTCAAAAGTGGGTCTCGACCCATAAAAGTTTCGGAAGCCCTGCTCTAGGCAATAAATATTGGCAATTTTTCTTAAGGTTACAGGGACAGGAGGGACAATGTATTCCCAGTTTTTGTTTAAAAAATAAATAAATAATCTTTCGGTATGGTAAAGTCTCATGATTTCTCTAGGTCAGGGGTAAGTGGGACCAGCATCCACCATCTTTAACTTTAACATCCGCCGCTGTTCCTGGAACTTGGAGTACCTAGCCCTTCATTTCACCTGATATTTACTAAAGAATGACTTATGATGATTTGAAAACTAAATTGAAAATGTTAGGCTGTTTGCCAATTTCAAAACATTTTCTATTCTTGATATTTTTACAGCTTATCTATTTTGTAGTTAAATTTTAATATGTAGCTATTTAAAGCGTCTGTTACCCACTCCCCCGTCATAATAATGAGCATTTCATAAAGATAAAATCTGTATGAAAGGTTTATAAAGACTGTGTTTGAATTTCACTAAAATCCCACCCCAGTCAAAAGGTATGAAAAGACAAATTAGGGACTACTTTGTGTTATGTAATTTTCCTGCACTTGACAAAGCTTGACCAACAGGCAGAGCTACTGCTGTCAATCACTGGTTAGGGCTTAGAGGGAAAAGTCTTTGTACAACACTTTGACATCAGTGTTGTACCCTGGCGCATTTGTAAGAGTGCAGTACTGATGTCAGCTCCTATCCAAGGAAGATCCAGGAGTCAAAGAGTATCCCACAGGAGAAGGTGGCAGCGGCCGTGAGGGGCAGCTTCAGGTATGTAAAACTCACCTTTCTCTGTATCTGGGGCCACCATACTGCCAGCAGCAAAGACACCAATTTGGGTCTTTGCTAAATATGCAAAGATTGCAAATGGTGACAGAACTGCTTTAATAAACTACAATCCTTTGATGCTGTTTTTACATTTATGAAGAAATTTAACAGCAAGTTGGCCTTATCCATATCTATATCCATTAAAATTCACAGTGTGGCTGCGAATTTTAGTGAATAAGAACAAATACCAAAGAACCCCTACTAAAAGAGGAAAAATGAAAATAAACAAGTCCCTAAAAATTTGGACAAAAACTTTATTGAAATCAGAAGTATTCAAGGACTCAAATAATTTATAAAAAAAAAATAATAATAATAATAATAATAATAAACCCATCAACTAACAGAAGAAAATATATACATATTGAGTCTCTTAATTGAAAGGCAAATTTCAGGGCATAATAGCTGAATTGGAAAAATTCTCCCACTCCAACTATTTTAGCCTATACTTTTCCGGCCCTCTGAGAGCACAGCACATCATTCTAGATGCTTGCATTGCACAAAGTAAAATCAGAGCACTGAGCCCGTGCAAGAGCACTCCAAAAGTTCTCTGCATATTCGCAGGCCAGAACTACTGCTAGTTAGGCTGACATGCCCTTTGTTTCAGGTGACTTGCCCCTTTATACAAACCTTCCAATTTTGGGATGTATACAACTCGCTTGTCAATTCTTAACAACCCCTGTTATAGTAAATAAATCATGTTGTTTAACAAGCATGCCACATGTACCTCTCATTACTAATATATATTTCTTACTGCGATGACCTTCCTATATACAAAATACACAAATGGCAATCAGTGCACACATAAAATACAATACACTAACCTGCAATGTGCTTAGGACTTAGATGAATGTTAGAACTAAAGATGAGAGAGTGTAAGGAACAAGTCAGTTCTCATAACATCTCTCAGTGCCAGTGGCCAGATTCAGACAAATGCAAGAATGTCCCTGGGCACTGACTGTCGAGCTGGCATACCAGAAATGACTGGCCATACCGTGGGTGCTGTGTGGAGGAGGGGCATAAACCAACAGCAGTATTTTCTAAAACTGGATACAGTTCTAAAATGTAACCACCTATTTGTCGACAAGAGAAAACAGTCATTGTTACTTACAGAGGGGAGAAGAGAGAGAGAAAAGAAATGGAATTGGGAGGAAACTGCAAGAAGGAGAATAGTGCAACATTGATAAAAATAGGAAAGAAAAAGAAAAATTGAGAAAGAAGGATCGGATTTGAGAGAGAACCACAGGAAGGGTTGGAAACATCCTTTCTAACAAAAAAAGAAACACAAGTAAGGAAGAATACAGAGAAAGAAAATAGATAACAAATTGAATACAATGTAGAATTGATACAATGTCAAACGTGACCTAGAGTATGAATGAATGTGTTTCTCCAGTCATGTAGAGCAAAAAAAGCTACATAAACACTTTCACTGTCACGATAGAGAGCCACCTCTCCATCATCACTGACATAATTTTTTATTTTTTTTTAAATAAATTCTTTATTTCAAAGATTTTGTTTTATGAGTAAGGGGTACAGAAATAAGAGTCGGGGATAAAATTGGATAACACATATATTGCATAACATTATTTTGTTACAACTTGACAGTCCTACAGATTGTACAAATGTACGGAAGTGACAACAGTGGTTTATGCAGAATTTAACCTGTGTATATTTTAAGTAAAGCTTCTACTGTAGTGAGGTTGTCTGCCTTTGTTATGGTCGGTCATAGGTGGGGAAGGGGTACAAGAAGGAGAGGGCCCAAAAGGGGGAACTCATGTACTACTTTCACTTTTGTCGACTATGCTTGTATGGGGGTCCATCAATACCGGTAAGTTATAGGGTTCGTAACCGTTTGTGGCCCTGGTATTAATGTCTATGGCTACTATGACGGCGTCACTGTAGTCTATGGTGGTTCAATGTACATAGCATCAGTTGACGCTGTGATATAAGAGGGAGGTAGGAGAAGGGGGTTTGTCTTGTTCTGGTTCTTCCTGTTAGGCTCTGTTGTGCAAGCCCAGGGGTGGCCGTGGTGTGGGAAATGCGTACTGAGCCCTCAACCATGTCATGGAGGAGTTTGCAATAATACTGTGTGGTTGGGTGTTTTCCTGTAACAGTGGAGGGGTTATGAAGGATCAATGGGGAGAGGATATTAGAAGGTGTCGAGGATACGTGATGAAGTTGGTTAGTATAGAGTAGTAGGTTAGTATAGAGATGAGGGGGGAAAGGTTTGTGTTCCTCAATTACCTTACCTTGAGCCATAGTAATCTGATTATGTGGGGAGGGGGGATTTGAAGATCCAGGGATCCCAGATTTTATGAAAGGTTTTGGTGGTATCGTGGATGAGTGCTGAAAGGCTTTCCATTTTCCTAGCTTCGTTTATCTTCTGCTTTACTGTGTCTAGGGAGGGGATTTCTGGGCTACCCCATTTGGCTGCTACGGTTCTCCTAGTGGCTAGTGCGATTTTAGCGATGAGTTTCTTTTGAGCTCTAGGCGTGTCCCCACAGGGTTTGGACAATAGCCAGGTTCATGAATCTAGTGGAATGTCAGTATGTAAGATTTCTTGAGGTTAGGTGCACAACTTTGTGCCACAGCGGTGGAATTCGGTCACATTCCCACCAAAGATGAATACAGGTATCCTTTGTCACGTATTCATCCGCTTATAAAAATGTAGTTAATGGCATTTACTGTCCACACATGAAAAGTTGTGCCGAGCAGCAACCAAATCCACAGAAGGGTTAATGCTGAGCAGCAATTATGCAAATGAAACCTGGTAACTGCCTTTGGGGTCAAAGGCCGGTTACAGCCTATCAGATCTAGAGGAGGGGTATTTAGGCCCAGTTCTCATCCTGCTCAGTGCCCTGTCGTGGTTTCCCTTGTGGTTGTCCGAGAGCGCGTTATTGATTTTGGTTAATCTGGTTATTTGACTTTGGCATTGTTTTTGACTTCCCTGTTTTCTGGCATCCCTGACTCCTGGCTTTTCCTTATCATTGTGTCTCTTTCTGTATCCCTTGACCTCGGCTATTCCTGACTATTCTTTGGTACGTTAGTCCGGCCATTCTAAGGTCCGGTATACGTTACCTATCAGTCCTCTGTGTTACACAATTCTAAGTGCTGGATCATTCTGTAATCCTGACACCCTTCTCCCCACAACCCTTCCAGCATCTGTCTGAGTCTGTCCTGCCCATCTGTTTGAGCCGAAGCTGGGTAAGATACCACAGCATGAGCATTTTGTACGCCTGTTCTTTGTGGTTAACGCATATAGAAATCCCAAGTCCCTCTCCCAAGCCGATTTGTATGCCAGTGAACCTTCTCCTGTGTGTTGGGCGATAAGGGTGTAGATTGTGGATATTTGTCCTTTCTGAATGGGCCTCCAGAGGCAGGCCCTCTCAAGGGGGGTTAGAGGGGTCATTCCTGTTTGTTTGTTGTTGGGTAAGGTCAGGAAGCTTCTGATTTGTATGTATCGAAAAAATTTAAAAGTGGTGAATGGTGTTATGTTTTGGTTGGCGTAGAATTGGTGGAGCCGGACTAAGTCATTGTCCTCAAGTCGTGCGAAGTCTTTGGGGTGCATAACGGGGGAAAAGTCTGTGTTCCGGAGTATAGGTGTCAGGGGTGATGGATTAGAGATAAGTTGACATTTTATTGCCATTTGATCCCAAATGTGAGGATCGCAGGAGAGGTGGGGGGTAGCTGGGGCCTCGTATGTTGTGGGAACCATATGTATAGGGATGGGAAGACCCAGCCTAGTATGGTGTGCTCTATGTCTACCCATCGTTTAATGCCATATGGTGCGTGTAGGTTCTGTGCCTGTGCCAATTGTGCCGCATGAAAGTAATGGGTGAAGTTTGTGAGTCCGAGTCCACCAGCTCTGTTGGGGACATACAGAGTTTGGCGTTTGATCATGGCTCTTTTGTTGGCCCATATGAATTTATCTATTTGGAATTGGAGAGTTTTGAAATCCTGCTGCGAAATCGTCACAGGGAGGGCCTGGAAAAGATATAAGAACCTTGGCAGGAGGTTCATTTTTACGGACGCTACATGTCCTAGCCAAGAGATGGGCATAGTGTTCCACGTGTTTAAATCTTGGTGGGCTTTGTACAGTAACGGGGTATAATTACATTGGTATGTTTGGGATAGGTCAGCTGGTAATACGGTGCCCAGATATTTAATTGCGGCGGATTGGAATAAACGGGTATAGGCTTTGAAGGTACTTGACGGTTTGTAATTGGACTTGTATGGGGAGGGCTTCTGTCTTATCCACATTTAATTTATATCCAGAGACGTTGGCATAATCTTGTAGGGCCACTATGTCAGGATTACTGTTTGATCCAGCACGTAGAACTGTACAGCACGGATGACAAATAAGTAACGTATTACCGGTCCTTAGAATGGCCGGATTTAACGTACAAAGAATAGTCAAAAATACTAGCCGAGGTCAGGGAACACAGAAAGGGACACAGCGATGAGGACAGCCAGGAGTCAGGATACCAAAATATAGAGAAGTCAATAAACAAAGCCAAAGTCAAAAACCAGGTAGAAAACTATAAACAGGAACACGCTCTCAGACAACCACAAGGGAAACCACGACAGGGCACTGAGCAGGCTGAGAACTGGGCCTAAATACCCCTTTCTTTCTGATAGGTTGTAACCGGCCTTTGACCCCAAAGTCAGTTACCAGGTTTCATTTGCATAATTGCTGCTCAGCATTAACCCTTCTGTGGATTAGGTTGCTGCTCGGCACAACTTTTCCTGTGTGGACAGTAAATGTCATTAACCACTTTTCTATAAGCGGATGAATACTTGAGACCAGGTTTCATTTGCACAATTACTGCTCAGCATTAAACCTTCTGTGGATTAGGTTGCTGCTCGGCACAACTTTTCCTGTGTGGACAGTAAATGTCATTAACCACATTTCTATAAGCGGATGAATACGTGACACACTAGAAGTGGGGGCATAGAGTTTGTGCGATCCATTATTGTCAGTAACAGGGGGTCCTGCATAAGCAGCTATCTTGTATTCCTCGCCCCTCGGGAGGAATATAGTGATTGTAGTGCTCTTATGGAAGGGGCGAGGGATGCCGAATTTGTGGAGGGTGGCGAAGAGGAAGGCCATATTAATCTATCAAAGGCTTTCTCTGTGTCTAGGGATAGGATTAAAGTGGGGATCTGTCGGTTGTCTGCATACCAAATGAGGTCATAAGTCCTTCTAGTATTGTCATTGGCCTGTTTGTGGGAGGAAGGGATTGAGTCTTTCTGCCATGAGTTTGCTGAATATCTTGATGTCCACATTTAACAGTGGGATGGGAAGATAATGACCCGGTTCCAGGAGGGACTTTAGGAAGAAGGCAAATATTCGCCTGTAACATATCTGGAGGTAGTGCATCGCCCTCTAGTAGGGAGTTTAAGAGGTGAGGGATCAATAGAGATGCGGATGTTTTATAATAAAGACCTGAGAACCCGTCCAGTCCTGGGCATTTGTTTGGTTTCAGCGTTTTGAATGTGTTTATTATTTCTTCTGGTGTGATTGGTGTTATCAGTTGGTTGGCGCCCGCAGGGGTGAGGGAGGGCAGGTTAATCGATTTCAGATGTGTCTATTTGTGACGTTACTCGTCCCGGTTTCGAGGCGAAAGTGTGGGCTGTGGTTGTAAAGGGTGATGAAGTATTCTTGGAAGATAGTAGCTATCCGATCTGGTAGGTCATGGGTGTTGCTGTCAGGGGAGTAGATTTTGTCTATGTGTTTGCGGTCCGATCTACGCTTGAGTTTACGAGCCAGGAGGGTGTTGGCGGCAAGTCCATGTTCTGTGTATGTCAGGTAATGTAAGTTGTAGCGTAATGTCCGCATGGTCAGACCATGTGATGGAGCCTATGGAGGTGGATGTGAGCAGTGGAACCAGACTGGGGAATATCTGACATAATGTTTTTTATGGATATTTTTATAACTGACCAGGCTGTTGTGGTTTAAGGGACACTCTACTGCCCAAATCCCAAATTACTAAAATTCACAGTTTAGTAGATATACCCAAAACTTGCTTGTATTTAATTATGCAATAGAAATCTGAAATTTTGATGATGATGACACAGAACAAGGTCATGTGTGGTGTTTGCATTTATTTTTCCTACTACAACCCACATTCGCAATGAAATGCATTTAAAAAAAATCAACATGAGCAGCCAATCAGGAAGAGTATGCAAGGTGCATGATGGGTAAACAGGGCTGTAGCCATTTGCGTGTGAAAATTCAACCCTGGAGAGTAGAAATTCAATCCTGAAAAGTATGTTATGACTCACAGTGGCAAGCAACTTTTAGGGCCTGTCTGGTAGAGTAAGACTTGAAATCTGACTCAGTAGTCCTTTACTTTTAATTCTGCAATGTCAAATATTTATTTTTAGTAGAAACAGCAATTTTTTGTTGTAGGCTTACAAATACAAAAAGATAAGTCCTGCGCCCACTCCCATTACTCCTGGGCGGCAGCAATGACCACAGTACACATCAGCCCCAATATATAGTTAAAAACCAAAGAAAAAAAAGTTACCTGCGCTCTCTCCTTAATAGTCCTTAATTGTTGTAGGGTTAAACACACCTCTTTAGGCTCTCTTCCTGATAACCACTTCCCTGTGAGAACTGAGTCAAACTTTGTTAAAGATCAAATGGTGTAGCTTCTACACTAGCCTCCCGATGGGAAAGCATTGGATTGGCCAAGATGATCTTGATGATTTAATTCTGCAATGTCAAATATTTATTTTTAGTAGAAACAGCAATTTTTTGTTGTAGGCTTACAAATACAAAAAGATAAGTCCTGCGCCCACTCCCATTACTCCTGGGCGGCAGCAATGACCACAGTACACATCAGCCCCAATATATAGTTAAAAACCAAAGAAAAAAAAGTTACCTGCGCTCTCTCCTTAATAGTCCTTAATTGTTGTAGGGTTAAACACACCTCTTTAGGCTCTCTTCCTGATAACCACTTCCCTGTGAGAACTGAGTCAAACTTTGTTAAAGATCAAATGGTGTAGCTTCTACACTAGCCTCCCGATGGGAAAGCATTGGATTGGCCAAGATGATCTTGATGATCTTAGGCAGGGAAGCTGGCAACAGTGTGGAGAGTAGCACAGTATGGTAAGAAAGGTTAGCAAAACTTGCTTTTTTATTTCTTATGGGGGGTCAGAGAAGAATTTGATTGGCTGAGATCATCAGGGTTGATGATCTCAGTCCGGGAAGCAGGGCGGCATCTCAGAGAGCAGCACAGCAAAGAAAGAAAGATAGGTGTTTTTTTTTAATTATTTCTGTGGGGGAGGTGTTCTGTCCTGGACACCTAAACTGTTAGCAGGACACAATAGAGTCAGGAATACATGTTTGTTTTCCAAAGCTATAGTGTTCCTTTACGACACTGCAGAAGCTGCAATTCTGCAATTTCAAAAATGTTAACCTATGGGGTTATTCACCAAAAGTGTACATTTTTGGGAATTCAAAGTGAATTTCAAATTTTAGGCCAAAATAGATTAACTCAAAAGCTGACTTGGGAATTTTTTCCAATTCATTTATTTATTATTATTATTATTATTTCTTTATCTATTTTGGCCTACATTTTGGCCTACATTTTGGTTTCAATAGGATAGGGCTTTTGCTGTATGGGCAAAAGCCCTATCCTATTGAAACCACATTTCAGGACGATTTTCCACTACAGAACAGAATTATTTTTTTAAAAATAATTTCCCTGATGTCTTAAATAAAAATAAATTATGGTATTTTTACTTGTTGTTCCTTTGTGAAATTACCCATGGTGAATCTCCTAAGACTCTGTTGTAATATGTACCTGCAACAACAAAAACCAGCTCAAAAATAAGTTATTTACCTGTCAAATTCTACTCTTTTTTGCCCCACCCTGTATATGTCAGCATTAAACATTACAAACTGCAATATTTAAATGTGAAATGTATTTCTTATGTGACATCTTTGTGATCTCAGAGCCCTTAAGAGAAGCATTAAGTCATTTTTCAGTCACAGCGATACAAATCATACGGCTCAATAACTTCACTTTAATAACTGGTCATTAATTAACTAGATTTCCATGCAAATTAATGTTTTGGAATGTGGAAAATGTAAAAACTTTCAGATATTGCTTCCTGCAGCTCTCCCACTTTTAGCATTCTCCCTTACACACCCTACACAAAACAGTATGTCCAGTCGTGTAGCGAATGTTTTTAAGCCCCTGGTGGACTAGTGTGAAAAAGCAGGACATATCTACTTCACTGAACTCCCCACAGTCATGAATTAGGTATCTGAACAAGATCAATCTATATGCAGAACCAAACTTCAATATGGCACATCCAGAGGAGGGGGGAGGTTTCTGTTGGTGCCCAAATCCATTCAAATGTATTTATTTTTTAATCAGAATCACACAGATGAGATTGGGGAATAACAGGATGTTGTGTGAACATGTGTCCTACACAATCAGTTTTTACCTATACTCTTCACCATCTGCACATCTAGATTTTCCACGTTCATACACATATCTAATCTTTCACACACAATGAGACACACTATAACACACATACATAACTAGCTTTCCGCTCTCAAAAACTCCCCCCCACGATACACACAGTTAGTCATACAGCCACACATACCCGTTTGCCACACTCTCAAATCTAATTAGCCACATATTTTTACAGATTTTGCAACACAAGACTAATTATCCACATATTGCAGACATCTAATTAGCCACATACATATACCCACTTAACCACTCGTACCACTACTACACATTCATACCTAATTAACCTAGCTTTCTCTCTCTCATACAAAACCTAATTAGCTGCTCCCAAAAATGCATTACTTAAAGTGCCACTATCACCCCACCAGCTCTTAAATAAAAAAGAGTATTTTGTAAAGACAGAATTTTTGTGTTTGAATTCATTGATTTAATAAAATAAGAAACCAGTCAATAGATATACTGAGACAAAGTAGGGACTACTCTGTCTCTATATATTTCTTACGCCTGACACTTCTAGACACGTGGCGAAGCTATCAACATCTGGAACTGTCAAGTCCTCAGCCAGTGATGGCTGCAGGGAATTGGCTCTGTCTATGCATGTGCGAGAGTACAGCAGTGACGTTGGCTACTGGTTCTGAAGTTGGCTGCGCCCATGAGGAACAGTTTCAAGTAAATAGAACTAAACTTTACCCCCTCCTTCCCTGCTCTTGGCCACCGAACCCACAGCAGCGATGTCACAGTTGGTACGTGTTTGAGAATTCTCTAACCACTCTTACTTTTTTCTATTTTAATGCACTCCTGAACAGCTGTCCTCATGAAAATATAAAATGAATACATAACAAAGTACACTCATAGACGCAATCAGTTACATGAAGTCACTCAAATTCTCACACGCACACTGATTTAGCCAAATTCCCCCCTTAGTTAGCCATATTCCCACATATCGAATTTATGATTGGACATAGAGCAAGTGGTGCAGCACTACTACATTGCAGGTGGTGTGGCTGTCACAGTATGACAGTCCATGCTCTCCTGTTTTGGGACAGTCCTCACTGTTACTGACAATTAGATGGTGTATTGCCCCACTCTCTGAGAGTCATGTGAGTGTCACAGCTACCAGGAATTTCAGCTGAATTCTGTGAAGGAACCTGAGAATTGACCATGGCCTGGTTCAATTTTCTGTGTCTCAGTTCTCTCTAATGTCCAGGGCCATTTAAACAGCTGCACACAAGTAGGAGTGTAACAGTGTCTGAAATAGAGAGTGCATGAGAAAGACTGTCATAGCGCATGTTTCTGAGTAAAAGTACCTCTGATCCTGTAGAAGTGAGTGAGTGAGTGTGTCTGTGAGTGTAAGAGTGCTTGTGGATAAAGCTGTGAGTGTGACTGAGAGAGCTCTCTAGGGGTCTATGAGCATTTTCTGAGAATATATGTCATATGAACAGCCACTAAGGGAACCACTCTTAAAGTTTGTACAGGAAATTTACTAGAAGCAGACAATTTTTCCAAGGAATTAGAAAGGTAATAGCCAAAGCCTCTATATATGACAACCACTCCAATAAAAAATAGGCAGTTTTGCTCAGGCTAGATGCTCAGAGAACCTTTCACCAACTATCCTGGGCGCATCTTTTTAAAATTGTAAACTACCACTTTTTTTTGTAATTCCATTCTACAATTTCATGTTAAATCTAAAATATTAAATATCTAGGGGTGTTAATTCCCATAAAATGTCCACTAGATACAAAAACAATCTGACACCACTTCTGACGGAGGTAAAATATCTTCCCTCCAGATGAGAGCATCTCCCTTTGACTCTCTCCGGGAGAGCCACTCTCCTAAAATCAGTTATAATTCCGAAACTCCTATGTAACGGATCCCCTATACTCTGGCTGAGTATATCCGTGCAGAATCTCCCGAAATCCAAGCATAGAAGAAGTTGTAGTGATTATATATGGGTGGGACCAGTCTGATATGCTTCAGATATGTTCTCTCTGTAATGGCACAAGATGAGCTAAAACCAGCTTGAGTTCTGAACGGGGACCCACCGAAGGGCAGGCTATTTTAGCTGCTGTCCGTTCTCAGAATACTCTTGCGACCCATTTTTTGCTCTCTTGTAGTGATTATAACTCCCAATCCCCCAAACATGAGCCAAGACTTCATGAAGGGGTAAAGCATTCTGTTTAATGGAAGCCACAGCTGGCCTTTTATGCAGGTCCCCATGCAAGAGGCACTCCCCCCTGGACCTGAGTGGGGATAGTAACACAAAACAATCACCCAATGGCAATGACACCCAGGTCCAAAACACTCCCACATAATCCCTCCTCTGAATCTGGGCGATAATTGAGTTAAGTGGCTGGCTTAAACTCAATTATTTCCAGGTACAGAAAATATTCACTCTTTTATAAATTCACAAAAACACTTTAAAATACATAAAGTCATATTTCATACAACCGAACCAACATAGTCTGCACATCCCCAGATAGCTTGGATCTGAGCGCACAACATATCCGAAAAGCCCTCAGATCCCACAAACGTAGTCGAATTGCCACTGGGATGAAGAATTGACTGACCGCTCTGGAGGTGTCTGTCCAGAAATGGTTCCATAGTTTCAGGGATAGCGGTCGGTCTAGTTTGAGAGTTTTCATACGAAATAAAACAGTGCACGAATCAAAAAGGGGAATGGGTCCCCTGGACCAAAGTATGGGGTTTGTTCGGGAGTTCTCGTTGAACAATCTGTCGAACAGCGATCTCCTGGCTTACCGCGAATAGAAGCAGGCGTTCGTACGTTTTTACCGGTGTTCGGGCCTTCGAGCTGCCTGCTTTTGTGGGACAAGATGGCAAACAAAGAGAGCACTGAATTCCTGTGGACTGTTTGAACTTAATGAGCCAGGGGGTGGTCGGTATTCGGTATTTAGTCTCATCGGATGAATAGGTAACCAAATAACAACGAAATGCCTGAGCAGAGTAGGAGAATGACTCTGGGGAAGGCAAAATAGAGATTTTGTCACATTCTATATCTACTGCAATCCTTACCAATAGTAAGTAAAATAAATTTCTTTGGAAGCAATAATGCCCATATAGCATTGCACAAACTATCTCAACTCAGATTTAATATAGGTTTAAATATCCCAAACCTAAATTGGTACACCCTAGCTGCACACTATCATCACGCAGGCCATACCAACATACACAATGATCCTTAAGCTCCAGCAAATCAAACACACATATCCTGACCTTAACATCCCTCCTTTTGCATACTTACAGACACGCAGCCTGATATGTACAATTCTTCCACACCTCAGTTCAGAAAATTTATACCATTACTCCCAAATGAGATGTAACCTAGATTACACAATTGGGTTTAGTAAAGTGGATAACACATTTTCCCGCACACGACTGTTGCATACAAGCTGATATGGAGGATGACACTGTCGCCCCTGCAATGGAACCCTGTATGGCCTCACCAAAAGAGGTGAACCATGCTCAGACACATCAGCATGCAAAGGTTATGCACATTAAAACAACAGTCATTTTTCCTTATAACCACATCTTGTATATCCTATAAAACATGAACTCTCCCACTCCTTCTATCTGCTCTGCACACATTCTGACAATCTTGGTGTTAAGGAGATTTTATGTTTGTGTAACTGGCTGGTTAAATATTAAATGTTTTCTGAAGTCACAGGATAAATGTTCAAGCTGAGGTTGTATTGTCCTGCACCTCTCAGTTTCAGCTATGTGCAAAGTCAAGTGACTGGCAAGTCTCCATTCTCTCAAAGACAACAAACTCTATGTATTCAGTATACAGTAATATGTTGACTTTTTATTCCTGGCAACAATCTGGGTCAGAGAATCATGCCCTTAAGATGCAATTCTGTAATTCCCATGCACTCGTTTACACCTTTAATTCAGGAAATCAGAGCAAAGTGCATGGAAACTGCCACTCTGATTTTTATAACCCGGTTTATCTTTGAACCCAAGCAAAATGAGTGTACTCCAGTTTTCTGTTCTTATTTTGCCAGTTCATTTACTATTCCAATGGATCACCTTGCTTCATTACCATGCCAATAAACCTATTTGCTGTGTTGTGCATGGCCTGGTAAACAAATATTAAGCAAGGTTTTCCCTGGAAAGATCACAGTAACAGAATTAGGAACTTGCTTGAATATGCCCATCGGCACTTCATGGCAAGCAGAAGTCTCCTGATCTAGGTTGTAGCGGTAGAGTTAAAGGGACACTGTAGGCACCAAGACCACTTCAGCTCATTGAAGTCTAGGATACTATAGTGCCAGGAAAAACGGCTTTGTAGCATTTCACACTATTTATTTAACTCTATTCACTAAACCATAAATTCACTGTTTAATTGCAACGGAAACAATTATCACTCAGTTACTTTTTACTTTGTAGGATTTTTTAGCAGCATTTACTTAGTAGACAATTGTTGTATTACTGGGTTTGCTGCAATTCAGAGTTTCAATTCAGATTTCCCACATACGTACCGTCCAAATGAACTATTCTATTCTGATACTATTCAAATAGTTTGTTTATAGATATGTGAGGACAACTTGCAGCAAATTTTCTTCAGAAACTGAACTTCAATTTTAGCGGATGATAGAGGATCAATGGAAGTTGGCGCTGATATCCCAATTTTACCAATGACCCACAAAATCTTTAATTCATTGTATGTTTAAGTTTAGGGAAATGGGGCTATCTACATTCACAACACAGGCAGAGCAGTTGGGAGTATAAACTACTTGGGATTGTTTTATAATGTGTATAATTATTAGATACCAATGCATTTACTCTATATAGTATTCTGGAACAGATTAAGGCTTACATATGAAAAAATATTTTCATTACATATCCCAGAGGGAATGAGAAGGAGCAGTCATAACTATGTCAATCCTAGGATTGCAATTCCAATATCCAGCTGTGAAAAGCTACACTGCTTTACTAAATATCACCATGTAAAAAGCAAAATAACCGACTCAATATTATCTAAAAAACAAAACAAATCCACTTTATGGTGAACTACTCAGATTGATATTAATTTAAAATCCTGAGGTTAGTGCAAAGTACCATGACTGATTCCTGCGGTATTGCCGCTTTTAAGGGACACTCGAGCACTTCAGCTTCACTTCAGGGCTGTTTTTACATTTCTGCGGTGTTTGTGTTTAGCTGTAATTTTCCTCTTACTCATTTACTGTACCCACGCATACTATATACAGATTTTCTCGCCATTAAATGGTCTTTCTAAAGATACCATTTCTTTCATCATATCATATAATGTACGATACAAAATTATAAAATATGATGAAACATTTTTTTAAAACCAGACTTTTTCTACCTTTAACCCCCAAAATCTGTTACGCATACACAACCATCCAAAAAATATCCTGTGCTAATTAGTTTCTAAATTTTGTCCTGAGTTTAGAAACATCCAATGTTAACATGTTAGCTTTTTTTTGCACGTTATAGGGCAATAAGTACAAGTAGCACTTTGCTATTTTCAAACTATTTTTTTTCAAAATTAACGCAAGTTGCATTGTAATACTGAAATCTGTCAGGAATCCCTGCATAACCCTTCACCTGTATATATTTTTCAAGGAAGACAACCAAAGGTAATAAATTTGGGGTATTTTGACTCTTTAATGCTCTTTTCATGCAACCATTTTACCACCAATCTATGCCAAATTTAAAAAGAAAATTAAATAATTGGTGATTTTTTTTTACACATGTAGCAGTTTAAGAATACATGTACTGAGAACTTTAAGGGTTACTGCCCAAGAACACCCCAATATGTGTTCAGCAACATCTCCTGAGTACAGTGATAACACCCATGTATAGGTATGTCTCTTGGGGCAAAAAAGACCTTATTTGGAGGGTGCGCATTCCAGTTTTCCAACTTGAAATTTTCACAGCTGGTCCTCATGCACCCATGTCCTATTTGGGACATTTTTAAAGCTGTCCAATGTAATTTACCCTCATCAAACCATATTTTTTTTTTTTAAAGTAGACAACTCACGGTGTTAATAATGGTGTATGTCCACTCTTTTTTAGTAGCCACTAAGTCACAAATCCTGGCTAAAATTTATATTTGTTTTTTTGCATCTTTTATACATAAACTGCCATTTCACCAATGATATTATCAGTATAACACATTTTACTGCTCTAAAACACTCATATTTGTGTAGAGTAATCTCTCACGAGTACAACAGTACCCCTGAAGTATAGGTTTTATGGTGATTTGGAAAGTTACAGGGTCAAACATAAGATTTGCCAATTTTGTTTTTTGGTAAATTGCTATTTGGCAGATTGGCTATGTTACCTTTGAGACGGTATGGCAGCCCAGAAATTAAAATAAACCCCACCATGACATACCATTTGAAAAAGTAGACAGCCCAGGGTATTCATGGGTATTTATAAGCCATAGTCACGGTGATTTAACTCATAAATTACAGATAATTGAAAAGTGAGACTGCAAAGGCATGATCTATAAAACAAACTGCTTCATTAAAATACAGTTGTTCAGGTGGCTATAGTGTCCTTTTAAACATGCACACAAAAAAAACCAAACAAACTATATCAGTAAATCTCAGTTGGTAGGGGTAAATTGATTTCATATACCCCCTTCTATTCTTCCATTTAACAAAAGCATCGGTAATGTTTGCTGAGATGACAATTTCTCTTTAATAAAAGCAATGGTGCACATACCAGGGCTCAAGTAGAAATTCACCCTTATAAGTGTGCTATGAACCCTCCAGACTTGCATTTGTGAGTATCTTTTAGGCCTATCAAGTAGCGTAGGACATGAACTGCTAAGCCCTGCAAGCACTATATATTTCTCTCTCAGTCAATAAAATTTGTATCTTCATAACATCTGCTCCTTGAAGTCCATCCTGTTGATCACCCCAAATTCTCACCAATTACCACTTAACATCTAAATGGTGCTTCTAAGTCATATCTCCTGGTCCGGGGGTGCGCACGGGAAGCTGCTTGTCTATAGGAACCCCGTTCCCCCCACCTTTGGACCATCAGGGTGGTCCTGCCCTGGGAGGCAACACAGCTCCAGCTGACACACAAGTGGAAGCCATCCATGCGGACAAACACCTCCGCGGTCCACACAAAATGGCGGAGACCACGTGTCCCCCTAGCATCATCAACCTACTCTCGGACTTTGAGTCCAGGCTCAAGGAACACTTTGACAAATTTTGGCGGCCGTTGGAGGACAAAATACCTTGCCAGACACCACCGTACCCGCAGGGTCCTCCACACTCCCCGGGCATCAAAGCTCCACCGGGTATCCACAATAGTACTGGCAGTGAGGGCCCCAAAATGGCGGAGACGCAAGCGGCGGAACTCACCTGCACTAAAAGCAGCACGGAGGTCGCCTGAACCTAGCAACAAGCCGATGGTGTCGTGGAGAGCCCTTCTCCCAGTCTCTGATCAAACCTGCCGACTCTCACCTGGGTCCCAGAGCCTGAAGTGTCCCTACATACTCATGCACTCTGATCTACCAACTATTGGCATCGGGTGACAGTAGACTTATTCCTCATCACTCTGGCTGCCTCTCACAAATATAGCCCAAGCACCAGTAGCTATTTTCTGGCAGACATCCACTCACCTACTAGGCACTTACACCTACACACTTACTCCCTATCTAACCAAGCAACCAGCTTGTAGCCTCCTAGGGGCAGCATGCCATTATTCTCCTGTTGAGATAAGCCTGTTAACAATTTAAAGTATGCTACCATTACTGTTTTAACTTCTCTTTAGCTGCAGACATGTTAGCTTGCATGCTGATCCACTTAATACTCTCACCATATGTCTACGCAATAGTTCTCTCTTATCATATTTTTAAAATGTGCAGTACCTACAATTGCCATATTACTGTCTCAAACTACAAAACAATGTGTTGATTGTTTATGCTGTTGTGGCAATAAAATCTCGCCTGTAATCTTTTGCACACAAAAATAAAGAATTAAAAAAAAAAAAAACACTCCACACCAAAATTAATAAAAATCATTGTTTAGTAGATATACCCCAAATGCAAACTTGCATACATTTAATTATGTATTTTTTCATTGGGGTATATGTAAAAACAGCTTGCAAAATCTGAATTTCGCTTGTCTGCTGCCTTTGCAAGACCTCCTCTTCTAACCCCGCCCAGACTTTCTGTGGCTGTCCAATCACAGACTTCCCAATGCAGCTCAATGAGAGGTCTTTGCAAGGCAGGTACTTTGATCGATTGAGTTCTGAGTTCAGGAAGCAACAGGACCTGCTTGGAAAGTGGGGGGAGGTTGGGGGGAACAAGTATAATTTTAAAAAGTGTCAATTTCGTTTGAAATCTGCACTTCTTCCAAAATGAAAAAACAAGGACACACTCTTCACACATAATGCTTTTCATCAAGCTAAAGTGCTTTAGGGGTCTGGAGAGTCCCTTTAATGTCTTGTTTTTTTTCTCATGCCTTCTCTGGAGAAGTCACTGGAGATTAGTAGGTGGAAGAGGGGTCAATCAGAAAGATTTTTGTTACATCACTTTGCAGTCATACTTGTTCATGGACATAGTTGCAGTGCTGTGTAAATAAATAACCGCACTGTCTAAATTATAGGTAAAGCAGCAGCTATTGTCTTCCTGTTGTGGATGCAATTCACATGGGGATTGTGGTTTATGGCATTACTACTGGATAAATTATAAGCCCTCTTAACTTTCCGTAAAAATGATTTCATAATTTCCTGAAACAGCAAGCTATATATGGTAGCATATGAACTTTTGTTCAAATATTTGAAGCTTCTAAACAAATAAATTATATCAGTAAAAGGTAATGTGAGGTTAGCGGTAATTCAGATCATGACCATAGATCTCAACAGTGTACAAAACTGGTGAACAATAATCAAAACTAAATCACGGATTTAAATGAGAGATATAGGTTTCTGCTTAGAGCACATGAAAGCCTAAAGGGTTACTCCAAGCACAATGGCCACTGATTTGAAATGGTCATGGTGCCTGGAGTCTCTGCACATGCAGAGATTAACCCCTCTGCTGCTGCAGGTCTAACTTGTCTTCCAGCCGCATTGTAGGGGTATCATCAGCCAGCCTGGAACTTTTGTTGCACATAATGCAAGTATTTGACAAGAGCAGTCAGTTGACTCTCTTAGCCAATGACTTGTGACCGCTGCTCTGCAGAAGCCAGAAGAGCATCACTGGACCACCAGGGGGCATCAGAACAGTGGGGACCCAGTTAAAGACATACAATGGAATAGATGAATGCAGTATAACGTATATACAACTATGCTTAAAACTTCAATGTAATTTTGTACTTTTAAAAAAAAATTACAAAAACAAATCATAATTCATTGAACTCTTGCTATTATCGTATTATGCTCCATGGAAGAACACTACCTACATTCATCATTATGCACTCACTTTAATAAAATGGTTCTTAACCTCTGGGTTTCGGCCCCAATTTGGTTGCAATTTATTCTGTGTGCTTCCTGAATTGAACAAGCTCATTACATTCATTAGGCCCTATACAACTACCTGCAATAATTGGTTTACAGTAGCAGTCCTGCCTTCTTTGATGCAATTAAACTTCTCCGACAGAGGTAAGAGGCTTAGAGAAGGGCTTCTCCAGAACGTTTGTTTAGTCTTATAATAAAAAGTATATATATTATTTTATTATATATTATAATATTAAATTATTATGTTAGAATTTTAGCACCTCTTTGCACCAGAACCACTACATTAAGCTAGTTTTGGTGCTTAGAGCATCCCTTTACAGTAAATTATATTCTAAAAAAGGCTTTCAAGGTCTATGACAACTGATTATTTAATGGGTTATCTGACAATACATACTGCATTCAAGATTGGACAATGGGCCAAAGCCACTGACACTAAATTATGCAAACCATTTTTCTTTTCAATATTTTGTTAAGTTATATGCAATGATGTCCGAGTTATTGTAGTGCCCAATTCAAAAATGGTGGAAGAAAAATTAATAATAAGATAAAAAAAGAGGAGATTGGGGGAAATGAGATACAGAAAGGTAGAGAGTATTGGGAGAATTGTGGCCTCTGTTCAATTAGTGAGTTTCCTAAGAAAGCCTCTCAGGATTTTTTATTGTTATGTCTTGAACAGAAATGAATGGCCATTAAATCCTGGCTTGTTGATGGCTGTGAGGTCTGATCACTAGTGTACTAAATTAAAGAGATACTCCAGAGCTGAAGTGTTATAAGGGCAAAACGCCACTCTTCACCAATCAACATTTCCTCATAGAGATACATTGAATACATGCATCTCTATGGGGAGCATTAAGCACTGAACATCAGTGCTGCACACTGTGCAGCACTGGACTTGGAATTGCCACTACAGGTCGTCTGAGTGACTGCCACTATAGGTGTTACTAGGCAGCAATGTAAACACTGCCTTTTGTCTGAAAAGGCAGTGTTTAGATTGAAAAGCATGCAGGAACAGGCTATAGACTTTAGTTCTGGTCACTATATTGTCCCTTTAAGATTTTTTGGCATTGAAAAACCTTACTTCTAACTTTTTTAGCTGGCTCCTAGATTCCAAGCAAATTTGTCAAGCCCTAATCAAAAATATATTTTATTAATGTTTTTAATGTGTTTGCCTAAAATGGCAACACAAACACCAGTGAGAAATACCTAAATTCCCACACTAGGTTTGGCAGTCTCCATCACTGTGATATGTATGTAATTTCTCATAAGCTTTGTAACAGGTTACGAATAGCAAATAGGCCAACATGGGAATGTGACCCCTCTGGTACTAAAGTAGTTAACATAGTACTACTTGACACTCTCAACACAAGCATTTGGAGAACAATGGAGTTACCTTCTTAAACAAATATGAATGGGGGGTAGTAGTTTACTGCTATTAGCCTCCTGCTGACCTTGTTTGAGAGCCAGTAAAGATATATACATACATACATACATACATACATATCAGGAGTTAGAAAAAGGGTAATCCTGTTGTAAGATGCAAGCAACATGCAGGGGTGACACTGCACCCAAGCACCTCACCAGTCACCGTGGCCTGAAACTTCACTCTGCAAAACTAGCCCGTTTACAGCAGACGGACAGTAAAAATTAATAGCAGCCATGGATACTGGCCATCACATACACCAATACATTAACCCTGTCACCCACCCTGTTACCTACTCGTACCCAGCCCTACTTACTCTGTCACCCATCCTCTCACATACCTTCAACTTATTATACAACTTCACTCTGTTAGATTACCCCATGTAAGAACGAAACAGTGGCCCAACATGCAAAACTAAGTCAAACACGGACAAATAACAAACAGAAACAACATATTACCTTACAATGGGGCCTTAGAATGGACGGATTTAACATATCAGAATAACCAGTACCTGGCTACGGTCAGGAATACAGAAAGGGACATATATGGTCAGAACAAAGCCAAAGGGTAAGGGAACCAGAAATACGGAAAGTCAAGCCAAGCCAAGATCAATGACCAAATAACAGTAAACAGGAAAGCACTCTCGGATAACCAACAGGATGGAAACCACGACAGGGCACTGAACAGCTGCAGGTTTGGGCTTAAATAACCCTGTAAACCCTACTATTTGCTAAATTGGGTCCCATGACCCCAAAATGTGCTTGCATGATGAAAACGTGACGTTGCATGCACAATCTTGTCACTAGAGACGTCATAGTTGGCGGCACTATCATATAGCGCCACCTTGCAGCGGCCAATGGCCTTCCTAACGCTGGACCCGGCTGCTGTCATAGGAGCTGTACGGAGGGAGAGGCGCTGGAGGCAAGGTGAGTAACCTCTCCCTCCTTTAGTGTGACCGCACCGATCAGATGCGATCACATCGCGGTGCCGATCGGGCAAGGTGAAAGCGTGATCCCCTCTGATCAGGCATGGTCACACTGAGGTGCTGATCGGACACCGTGACACCTCAGCCTTGCATCCTGTTACATAACTACAAGCAAGTGACATATAATTACACAACCAGTTCAAGATTTATAATTACCGAGTCACCTTCACCCTCCAGCCACCTGACCTAACCATATACACCCACCCAGCCAGTCACTTGCATGCACCCAACAGTCCACTGCTAAATGTAATTTTTTAAGTCACTTCCACGGTCACCCAGTCTTGTTACACAGTAAACTACAGCTATCAAGCCACTTAATCACCTACCACCACGCAAAAACCCACATTCACAAACCCAACCAGCCACAGTCACCAATACAGAGCCACATACACACATTACATGGAATGTGTACCATGACAATTTATATGCTAAGAGTTGCTCAGGTGTCTGATGCATCCATTTAAATTACTTCCCTAATTTAGTAGTTAAGGAGCAGCTATATTTTGAGGTTTGAAGTACAAACATGGCAGCAAGCATTTTAAAACAAGTGCAAAAAATTACTTGATCCAGTCTGAAAAATAAATAAATAAATAAAATAATAATGCTAAAAAAAAATAAAAAATGTATCATGGTTTGAAAATTGCAAAAATAATATTCATCATGGATTAAAACCTGACACAACTCATAGAAACATAGAAACATAGAATGCGAGGGCAGATAAGAACCATTCGGCCCATCTGGTCTGCCCAATTTTCTAAATACTTTCATTAGTCCCTGGCCTTATCTTATAGTTAGGATAGCCTTATGCCTATCCCACGCATGCTTAAACTCCTTTACTGTGTTAACCTCTACCACTTCAGCTGGAAGGCTATTCCATGCATCCACTACCCTCTCAGTAAAGTAATACTTCCTGATATTATTTTTAAATCTTTGTCCCTCTAATTTAAGACTATGTCCTCTTGTTGTGGTAGTTTTTCTTCTTTTAAATATAGTCTCCTCCTTTACTGTGTTGATTCCCTTTATGTATTTAAATGTTTCTATCATATCCCCCGTCTTTCCTCCAAGCTATACATGTTAAGATCATTTCAGCTTTCCTTGTAACTCTTGTCCTGCAATCCATGAACCCGTTTAGTAGCCTTTCTCTGAACCCTCTCTAAGGTATCAATATCCTTCTGGAGATACGGTCTCCAGTACTGTGTACAATACTCCAAGTGAGGTCTCACCAGTGTTCTGTACAATGGCATGAGCACTTCCCTCTTTCTACTGCTAATACCTCTCCCTATACAACCAAGCATTCTGCTAGCATTTCCTGCTGCTCTATTACATTGTCTGCCTACCTTTAAGTCATCAGAAATAATCACCCCTAAATCCCTTTCCTCAGATGTTGAGGTTAGGACTCTACCAAATATTCTGTACTCTGCCCTTGGGTTTTTACGTCCAAGATGCATTATCTTGCACTTATCCACATTAAATGTCAGTTGCCACAACTCTGACCATTTTTCTAGTTTACCTAAATCATTTGCCATTTGGCTTATCCCTCCTGGAACATCAACCCTGTTACATATCTTAGTATCATCAGCAAAAAGACATACCTTACCATCAAGACCTTCTGCAATATCATTAATAAAAATATTAAAGAGAATGGGTCCAAGTACAGATCCCTGAGGTACCCCACTGGTGACAAGCCCAAGCTTCGAATATACTCCATTAACTACAACCCTCTGTTGCCTGTCACTCAGCCACTGCCTTACCCATTCAACAATATTGGAATCCAAACTTAAAGATTGCAGTTTATTGATAAGCCTTCTATGTGCAACATTGTCAAAAGCCTTACTGAAATCTAGGTAATGTCTACTGCACCACCCTGATCTATAATTTTAGTTACCCAATCAAAAAAATCAATAGGATTAGTTTGATCTCCCTGAAGTAAACCCATGTTATCGCTGATCTTGAAATCCATGTGTTTTTAGATGTTCAACAATCCTATCCTTTAACATGGTTTCCATCACGTTCCCTACTACTGAAGTAAGGCTTACTGGCCTATGGTTGCACGACTTTCTATTACCTTTCTTGTGAATGGGCACAACATTTGCTAACTTCCAATCTTCTCGGACTACTCCTGTTAACAATGATTGGTTAAATAAATCTGTTAATGGTTTTGCTAGTACACCATTAAGCTCTTTTAACAGCTTTGGGTGTATTCCATCAGGTCCCATTGACTTATTTGTCTTTACTTTTGACAGTTGAAATAGAACCTCTTCCTCTGTAAACTCACGTGTAATAAATGACTCATTTATCCTTTTTCTTAACTGAGGTCCCTTTCCTTCATTTTCATTTGTAAATACCGAACAAAAATATTCATTGAGGCAGTCAGCTAGACCTTTATCCTCTTCTATATACCTTCCTTCTTTTGTTTTTAATTTAACTAATCCTTGTTTTACTTTTCTTTTCTCATTTACGTATCTAAAAAAAGTTTTGTCCCCCTTTTTTACTGACTGTGCTATTTTCTCTTGTGTGTGTGATTTGGAAGCTCTTATAACTTGCTTAGCCTCTTTCTGCCTAATCTTATAGATCATTCTGTCTTCCTCACTCTGGTTTTTTTTTTTATAATTACTAAATGCTAACTTTTTTTGTTTTTTACTATTTTGGCCACATCTGCGGAGTACCACAGTGGTTTCTTGAATTTTTTGCTTTTACTGAAAAGCCTAATGCAATTTTCTGTTGCCTTCAGTAGTGCAACTTTTAAATAATCCAATTTCTCTTGGACTCCATTTAAATTGCTGCAGTCTGATAATGTCTCCTTTACACATATTCTAATTTTAGAAAAATCTGTTTTTCTAAAGTCTAAAACTTTAGCTTTTGTGTGGTGTGACTCAGTCACTGTTCTTATATTAAACCACACTGACTGATGATCACTGGATCCTAAACAACTTGTTTTAGAGACAATCCCAGTAGGGAGTTTAGAATATGTGTGCTCCTGGCACAAGCAGCTATTTTTGTTTTCCAATTCACATCAGGAAGATTAAAGTCACCCATGATGATAACTTCCTCCTTCATTGTCATTTTAGCTATTTCCTCAACTAGTAGATTATCTAACTCTTCAATTTGTCCTGGGGGCCTCTAAATCACACCTGCATGAGTTACTTTGTGATTACCAAATTCTAACGTAACCCAAACAGACTCTATGTTCGCCTCACTAACTTGTATTATGCTTGATTTTATGTTATCCTTCACATACAGGGCCACCCCTCCCCCTTTCTTGCTCTCCCTGTCTTTTCTATATAAAGAGTACCCTGGTATTGCTATGTCCCAGTCATTTTTCTCATTATGCCATGTCTCAGTAACAGCGACTAAATCTACGCTATCAGTTTCCATTATTGCCACAAGTTCATGGATCTTATTCCCTAAACTGCGAGCATTTGTAGACATGACTCTAAGCTTATCATTTTTTTAATACACTTGCTACAGGCACCTTCTGTCCTTGTTTTGGGGGACAATTGGATTGATGTTTTATCACCCTTTTGCCCCCCCTCCTAGTTTAAATACATCAAAACCTCTGAACTGCTCACTGAGAACATTTGTTCCCTTTTGAGAAAGATGCAAACCATCTTTTTTGTACCGTTTATTTCCATTCCAAACAGAGCAACCATGAGAAATAAAGCCAAATCCTTGCTCCCGACACCATTCACCAAGCCACAAGTTAAAGTCCCTAATACGCATCCACCTGTCGTTCTGAGTGTTATGCACTGGCAGAACTTCAGAGAATGACAGTGTGGAAGCAACCTGCTGTATATCATTGGCAAAAACACTAAACATTTCCTTAACCTCTGAAACCTCATTGCAAGCCAAGTCATTTGTCCCTAGATGGACAAGTATATCCAATTCCCCTTCCTGCTTTGTTCGCTTAACAATATTTCAGATACATCTCCTGTCTCTGTGAGCAGTAGCTCCGGGAAGACACCTCACAAGACCACCATTGTCCATTTCCACACCTCTTATGATGGAATGCCCCAACAACAACTGCTTTCTATTAGGCCTCACCATAGTCTCCAAGCCTGTCTCCACAACACCACTACCCTCAGTACCTGAGCCTGTTTCCATAACACCTTAGTGTCTGAGCCTGTCTCCACAACACCACTAGCCTCAGTGTCTGAGCCTGTCTCCACAACACCACTAGCCTCAGTGTCTGAGCCTGTCTCCACAACATCACTAGCCTCAGTGCTAAAACTCATGTTTTAGCTATAGTTTTCCTATTAGCAAAAACATCCTGTGTGTTCCGCTGACATTTTGGCTCCTTCTCCAGTGATGGCTTTTGTTGATGCAAATGTTGGCACTAAAAATCTCTTGTTCTTCTTTTTTAAAATAACAGTAAGGTTATCGAGCTATTCGTGTTGATTGGCTGTTGGCCTTTTGATGCCAACTCGTCAACACAGGAAACAGAGTCATTTGTTAGTAGTGAAGATGCCGAGGACTTTCATCCGGCTGTCAACACACTGACAGGGTAACTTCCCTTCCTTTCACTGTGTCTTCCTGAAACTCTTTCTACGGAGCATCTCCTATCCACGGCAGCCTCCCCCCTCACAATGCAAACTACAATAGCAACTAATACCAGTAGCCCTGCAACAGAGATGGTAAAACTATAGATATAATTTTGCTGATATAGTATTCATGTTGAAAGAAGGAGAGGGCAGGAATGACTAACTGATACATCCTGTTTCATGCAGGGAAGAAATATGGTGCTGAAATGGGATGTGATACGCAAATAATGGACAGAAGAAACCGATCAGTGAAGGAAAGAGGAACGCATGGAAAATGAAGAAACTGAAGGACTTTTTCACGGGGAACACTGGATGTAGGTTTAACTTACAACCAGATGTTTTGTTTTGGAGATAATAGCATGGCTTACACAAGTATTAAAGCACGCCACTAAATGAGTACATCAAGTACCTGAGTAACTTGCTGCATATTAAAGATCATGATATAGTAACCTACCTGAATTACTTAACCTACATGCTCTAATATGTCCAGATTTGACATATCTCCAACAGCTCAGAGTAGTGGTTAGATTGCCAATAATTTATAGGCACAGTCCACCATTCCATTTTTTTCTTCAAGAATGTTAAGAAGATGTTTTACAAAAGCATGGTCCAGGATTTTTGTATTTTATTATCTTTGGTATTTTATTTCTTTGGTGTTCCACTTCTAGGGACACCAGAGAAAAGTGCAGCTAACTAGCTATTAGCTAACACAAGTTTAAACACACTCACCATTCCACTGTACAGGAATTCCAAAGTACTTCATACCACACATGAGCACCCTAGTAGCTGTCATCCAGATGCACATGCGCACAGGACAACATGTCCTTTTTAGTGTTGTACACGTCACCAGTGAATTGATTCACTGTTCAATGTATATGGATGAAAATGCCCTCTAATTCACTGTCAGTTATTATTTTTTTTAATTGCAAAGTGTTGGGAGCAACGTACCAAAAGAATAACGACAGTGCTAATGTCTAAATACTTTGAGACTGCATTGTATTTTTCTCCATCAGGAAACACAGTATAAACGTATGTAACTTGTATTGTCTGTCCAAAATCAAATGTTTCCATTCCCTGTGTATGAAACCAACAGCAACTGCGCTTGTTTTTTTTTTATTTCTGCTTGCCCATTATGTGGATTGTGTCTACATATTTTGTACAATTTTTAGAGCGATTGAGTGGGTTACTGTGCATGGTGCAGCTGCGGGCTGCTGAATAAGCCCTGTTATGTTTTATTGCCGCACTGTAAAGTATCAGCAACTCCTCCTACTCTGCCCATAACATATCTTGAATCCATGAGATTCAATGCAGAAAGAGGGGACGGGCGGAATGTTGATGGATGTTGATTTTTCAGAGTTCCCAGTTAATCTGTAGCACAACAATGGTCTTTGTTACGTGTGACTTTCAGAGCTCTCTGCAGGTTTTGTCCTCTGGGTTCCAAGCTATGTTTCACACATCATCTCCCCACCCAGCCTCCCACAAACTGGACGAGCAAGGATGAGGACGCTGACCTCCTGCTTTCCAGAGCAAAGAAAAAGAGCAAAGAAAGTCAGACTTAGGAAATAGAGAAGATTTTATAACTGGAAGGGGGACATTTATAACTGCAAAGGGGGGGCTCGATGGATGAGTGGTATTAATTAGGGAGGCTACACCTTTAAGTATCTAAAAGTGTAAAAATCTCAAAGTGGAATGGTCCTTGGACTCGTTGCCAAGCCCAAAACAATAGCCATTTTCCATTCTCCAAATGACTTAACAGGGTGAGAATTTGCCAGCGCAGAGTTCAGAAGCAACATACCATCAAGCATCCCAGCCAGCCCACAAAGGAGCTTTTCAGAGACGTCACTGCTGTCAGGAAGCGGGGCAAACGGAGAAAAGGGCAACGTGGGACTGAAGAGAAATCGCTGTGCCCTGTGTACGTCGTTGCTTTCTCCCCTCCTTCTCCACAGTCCACAGGCACAAACAAAGCCCTGTGGATACCTCTTCCTTGCCAACCTGAACTTGCTCACCCTGGAAATGCAACATCATCGTAAGATTTGTTACTGTACTGGCCAAACTGGAAACAGTCCTCTAGCTGTGTGGGACATACATAAAATCTGTGCCACGGGCGTACAGATAAATCCACTAATGCAAGGTCACACAAAATATGCACATCAACACATGAGAGCAAAATTGTTCTTTATGCTTCTTTCAATGCCTAAATCACAGTGTGATTTTTTTAAAGTGTAGCAGCTCAAACTGAAATTATATGCACATAAACTAGACTTTAACAAAGTGCAGTAACAAAAACACACTAGAATGAGGTGGTCTCTGTTCCACAGAGCTCACACTCTAATTAGTTTAATGCATTATTGGAGATTCAGTTAGTTTGGGAAGTTTGCATTTGTCTCTTTGTAACCGTTAGAACAGAGGGTAGCTCACAGCAGCTACTGAACTTCATCACCCATTACGTCCAAACAGAATTTGATCCTATTCGGATCATTGTACAGGAACAACATATTGACAGGTCTACCTGGTTATTTTGTTTTACGCAGAGGAAATCTCTGCATTTGGTAATTCTTTGACAGTGCTACTCTCGTATTATTTAGAGGAAATCCGTTATCCCCCATTAAATGCAGTAAGGTAGTACCAAATGGATAAGAGTGACAGAAGGAGGGTAGGCCAATTAGTAAACATCGTAACTGTGACCCTGTTGCATGAAAAGAGGGCGTGCACAATGAAAGGTTATTTGGCCGTTGAACGAAAGATGCTTTCCTACACAGTAAGCATGATAATCTAGTCAGGGGTAGGCTGCCTTCTGCACTACATCCCCCATAATCCTCTTACAGCCATAATGCCAGCAAAGCATCAAGGCAGATGTAGTTCACAGCATGTGGAGTGCCTAAGTTTGCCTATTCTGCTGTAGTTCCTTAGTCATGTCTTTTACCATCACACCTTCCAATGCTCCAGGCACCAAATGTAATTCTAAGATTAATGGGACAAACAGTCACTTTGTATGAAACCTGCTTTGGTCAGCACTCAGTATATTTTGTAAAAGTGTCAGCACTGTATTAATAGGACAATAGTCACCAAGTGAATTCCTGTTTTATTCTTATCACTATTCACTATCGCAATTCACAAACCTGTTTCCATAGGAATATTGATAGAGAACTGGATTTTGAACCATTGATTAAAATGAATGCATAGATAGCACAGGGAATCAGAATGGATATTAACCCTTTGAGTGCCAGAAACATGTTTCAAACGCTCACTACATAAATATGTGCATGATTCTGTGTCCATTATTATGATCGTTTGGTGGACTAAGAAAAAAGACATACGTGAAGTAATGTGGAAAGGGCCTTGCTCCAACGAGCTTATATTCTAAGGGAAGAAGAGGTTAAGGTAAAATGTATTTTATACATAGAAAATTTTAGTTTCTAGGAGAGCTTACATTAATTGTTAAATGATGCATTTGAAGGAGAAGGAGTGAAGCGAGTTAGTGAGGTGTGTAGAGAAGTATAAGAACAAGAAAAAGTGTAGCGCTAGTGAAATAATATAAAAAATATACTTACACCAAATGGATAGATATCAAATGAAACATCCACATATCCTAGAATTATAAATAACATAACATGGTGTAATAAGTTTTAAAATAAGTGAGTCTATATAAAATTAGAAGCAATTACAAGCGTAGAGCTATTAGACTTCGCTCAAGCGTAAAAAGGTATTCGGGTCCGTAAAGGCGACCCACCCCTGGTCTTCCAACCTTGGTCCACCAATCCTATCATGGAAGTAAATAACACGAGGACATAGAGTAGCACAGTACTATACTGGATAAAATTTAATGAAAGTCAATTAAATACTCACAAGCCTGGAGCCTCTTATGTGGCTCGGTAAATGCACGATGTGTAGTTAAGGAATACACTTCCTTGCTTCAAAGTATCAGATGCCAGAAGGAACGAATGCAATATAAAATGATTATTATGAAACAAATATATATATATATAAAAAACAAACAAAAGTAGAATATCTGAAAATCTCAAAAAAAGTTCCAGAACGCATTTCACCACTTCACGTGGCTTCCTCGGGAGGGTAAAAGAGTTCCAATGGTCCTTCTGGTCATAAGTGTTTTCCAATTAATTATGGAGTGCGCCGTGGTCCAACTCATACAATTATTGTGTATATCGCGGCGGCTGCTCTCACCTCACATCGTGCATTTACCGAGCCACATAAAAGGCTTCAGGCTTGTGAGTATTTAATTGACTTGCATCCATTTTTATCCAGTTTAGTACTCTGCTACTTTATGTCCTCGTGTTATTTTTCCATGATAGGATTGGTGGACCAAGGTTGGAAGACCAGGGGTGGGTCGCCTTTACGGACCTGAATACTTTTTTACGCTTGAGCTAAGTCTAATAGCTCTACGCTTGTGAGTGCTACTAATTTTATATAGACTCACTTATTTTAAAACTTATTACACTATGTTATGTTATTTATAATTCTAGGATATGTGGATGTTTCATTTGATATCTATTCGTTTGGTATAAGTTTATTTTTAATATTATTTCACTAGTGCTACACTGTTTCTTGTTCTTATTTTGTTCTTTTTGGTGTATGTGGAAAGGTTTTTAAACCCAAGTGCTATAGCTGCTATTATTAATATTTGCACTCTATAGCGGCAAAACTTATTTTCAAGTTAGTGTAGAGAAGTATATTCACAGTTGAGTTGGCATGCCTTCCTGAAGAAGTGAGTTTTTAGTAATTTTTGAAAGAATGAAGACTGGGACAGTCAGGTGCTATGCGTGCAAATCGCATTCCACAACATGTAACATAATGATCCCTCTCAGACCTCGATACCACTCCTTACTATCTACATAACTCTGTCTCTATTGAATGCTATAGAGCTAGGTATGGACTAGCACACACTTATTCGTTGGTTCTGGTATTTCATTCCTGCTCCGTGAATACCACTGGAATTACACCGAGTACTTTAGAGTGGTTATCAACAGTTTCACATTGCACTGTGGGCATGTACAAGACGTTCAGGTGTTATTGACGTAGAAGGGAGCCCAATAGGTTTCGATATAAAAGTATAAAAGAACCAGCAAATACCATGGGTATAGTCTGAATTTCGCTTGGCTGTGTTTCTGGATATGTGTCAGAAATTGTGCAATAATTTCATGGCTAAAAGGAGGGTATTGTCACTAGGAGTGGCCTGGTTTGTACTGACCGTGAATGCCTGCACTCTAACAGGGTTATTCAGTAAAGTGTGTATTGCAAGGAATTCAAAGTGAATTTCAAATCTTGGCTCAGTATAGAGAAACTAGAAACAATGGGAATTTTACAATTATGCTATTTTGGCCTAAATTCTAAATTCAGTTAAGATTCCTGACAATTCACACTTAGTGAAAAACACTTTATGTCTTTATCTACAGAGCTTTGATACCAGAAGCTGAACACAGTACAGGGATTTAGGTATCGGTAGAGACATGTTACTTCTTGATGGGCAGCACATGAAATCCACTGCCCTGCAGTTTGTAGTATTACAAAGTATTTTATATATACTAATATATATATATTAATATATTATTTATTTTAATTCCATTTTTTCCTCTGGAAATCTAGGTCCTTAAACAAAAAAAAGATTGGCTGGATGTATGCAATTGGGTATCAATGCCATACAAGGCATTGTAGAACCTGCAAGGAATTCCACTGCGGTTTAACAACTATAGTGATTTCCAGTGAAATCTGAACTTTAAAATTCGATTAGAATATTATCCAACTCACCTTTATTTATTCAGTGCTGTGAAAAAACACACTATTATTATTATTTATATAGCTCCAACTTACTCAGCAGAGCTTTACAATATTATAAAGAGGGAAATTTATCAACAAAGAGAGCAAACTATTGCTCCGTTGACTATAGGTTGATGAGGACCCTGTGTGAATGAGCTTACAATCTAAAGCTGCTTTACTTGGTATTCCCAGGTGGTCTCCCATTGAAGTACTAAAACCGGGTCCAAACCTACTAAGCTTCCAATACCAGAAGAAATGACAAAAAGGCAGTCAGTGGCCGCGTTCTATAAGTATGTGTGGTCTACCAGCACGTGGCGGGGCTGTTGCTACTCCTTGATGCTTCCACTTCCCAATAATAGTGCTTACAGTTGACCAAGGCAGATTTAGTAGGGCAGAAATTTCACAGACTAATCTGAGGCATCCATGGCGGCATCTAATGACAGTGCTATGTTTAAAGTCGCTGAGCTCTTCACTATGGCCCATATTTGTTTATGTTGATTTATTGGTTATGTTCTGAATATAATACCCCTGTTAGCAATAAGATATCTGAACTCAATCATTAGTAGGGGTGTCCACATACTTTAGGCCGTATATATGATATTTTGCATCAGTTATCTAGTGGTTGAAGAAAAAGTACAGAAAATGTACTTTTTGGGGGAGCTAAGGAGATATGAAATACAAGTCACTTTTCCAAAAAATCTACAGTAACAAATCCTAGTTATAAACAAACTGAAACATATATGATAAAAAAAAAAAACCCACCATATATAACTTTGAGAGCCAAAGCTACTCTAAAATCAACAGGAGGTCTCAGGGGTGCTGTGAGGTTGATGAATTGAGTAAATTTAATAACCTAATGTAATAATCTGACATTCCATTCAAACCAATCTAACCTAAATATCACTTTATTTATGAATACGTCTCATGGCATCTCTAGGCAGAGTTAATTCAGAGACTCCATGTCAGAGCAACTGAGCGTTTAAGACTAAAAGCATGATAAAAATTTATAGGACACAAGAAGCAAACATATCTTTACTGAAAATCCAAATATTAAGGGCACAGTGTTTCAGAAGAACTCCTGGTGAATTATTCAGTAAATGCTGAATGTTGAATTAAACTGCATTTGCAAATTTAAACTAAAAATACTGCTAAATGAGAAAATGCTTTTGACCCAAATTATGCAAATTCAATCTTTAATTCACAATCAACTATTGTGATTAATCCCACTATTTCTGAAGCGTTGGTTAGATTTATTATATTTATTAATGCAGAATTATACCCTTCACAATTATAAAGACAATAAAAAACAGCAAAATGTGTATAAATTATAATTATGGTAACAAATCAATCCTTGTGGTTAATGTATTCGTAAACATCGACTCATCGACTACAGATTAGCCCCTTTCTAAACTTATAAGACAACTGTCATGATTTATTTATTTTTTATTATTTTTTTTAGCATTGGAATATTTTTTATTTTTTTTTTACGTTTTGATTTTTTTTTTTTTTAATAAAGTATACTGAAATATTTTGGTAAATCCCTTGCCTCACTGACAGACTTATAGCTGTACTGAGGGAGACAGAGGAGAGTCAGCTAGCCTACCCCAACAATAATTGCACTAGCTGGTGCAGGGGCTAATGATTCACAGACCATAGAGATGAAAATAAAAAACAATTGCAAAATAGTGAGCAATGGTTGGGATAATTCACAGTTGGACCCAAGGTGCGTAAAGGTGGCTGTCAGAAAGGGGTATTACCCCAGTAACCCAGTTAAACTCTGTTATAGTTCAAATGACACCCATTAAGAGCATTTGATTGGCACAGGGCAATGTTTTGCCGCGCATGTGCACTAGCCTCCCAATGCTGCTCAAAGAGGCGGACCGTCAGCGACAAAAGCAACGGATCGCAGGATGTAAGGTTAGTGAAAAAATACCTTTTAAACGCCTGCATGGGGGAGGGGGGAGAGGGTCGGACATCTAGATAGGTAGGGCCCAGGGGGACACCATAGAATTATAAATACATGTTTGTATAATTATAAATTAAGATATCTTTTGGCCTACACTTTGAATATCCCTTGATATGTTCTGACCATTTTCAGTTTAGTGAATCACCCTAATGAGTAATATTCTTATCTGCTAGGGTCTGTTCTCCAGTTTACCATTTACTTACAATACACTCCTTCCTCCCTTACCTGTCCAGGTAACAGATCTGTTGGATATAAAGTGTGAGCACTCTAGCCCTGGAATGATCAAAGGTCAGCAATGCAAGTAATCCCGTGTCAATATCCCAAGAGATTATCTTTTCAGTAACCGGAATAAACTTTGCACCATGGCTGATTTTCCCAAGACACTATATATATATCTTTATACAAAAATAAGTCTGGGCGCTCAAACTGGGCGGCAGCAACGATACAATAAAAGCCAAAGAATAGCATAACTTGCGCACTATCTCAAATCCTTATGGATATTTACATAACTGGAGGTTTTGGTTTTTAATATATATATCTATCTTATTTGTGGTACATCTAAGGGAGTTTGGAAGAACCCCAATGATGGACAGGCAACATTTCCCAAAAATCTTATTGCTGGCCATCACTGATCATCATATTATTAAAAAAGGTTTATTATTTAAACTAGGATAATCATTTTCCGGCGATATTATTATTTGTTTGTAAAAAAACATGGTAAAATTAGAGAAGAACATAGGTCCAGGTAGGAAAGAAAGGGAAATTCCACTATTTTCCTGTCTACACATCTTGTACCCTCTAAAAGATAATGTCATTGATTAGCTGTTCAGGGAACAAAAATGTCACTGATTAGCGATTTTGGGCTAAAAATAGCACTGGGATGCTGTGTGGGGACAAAGATGTCTTGGCCAGTTGTCTGGGGACGCTGGGCACAAAGATGGAGAAGACAAGATTTTTGGGGACAAAGCTGGCACTGTAGGTAGTGGGTGACATGTTCTACATTAAGTTGTTATGGTTCCCCCTAGGGGCAGAAGAGATCGGCACTGGATGCTCATTTTGGGGTGAAACCATTTGAGAACAGTTTAACTCATTGAGGTAAGAGTGTGCCAGGGTCTTCTAGCACCATAACAACTTTATTTAAATGAAGTTGTTATGGTCCCCGGAGTGCGTCTTTAACCCTTTAAGGTAAGGAAGCGTTCTTCCCTCAAAACAACTTAATTAAAGGGACACTATAGTCACCCAGACCACTTCAGCTCAATAAAGTGGTCTGGGTGCCAGGTCCCTGAGGTTTTAACCCTTCACATGTAAACCTAACAGTTTCAGAGAAACTGCTATGTTTACATTTGGGGTTAATCCAGCCTCTAGTGGCTGTCTTCCGGACAGCCACTAGAGGCGCATCTGCGACGCTGGAGCCGAATTTCGCCTCCATCTCTCAGAGCATCCATAGAAAAGCATTGAGAAATGCTTTCCTATGGACACTTTGAATGCGCGCGGCACTTGCAGCGCACGCGCGTTCGGCTTCAGTGACGTCGGAGGGGGAGGAGAGGTCACCAACGCCGACGGAGCCCCGCGCTGGATTAAGGTAAGTGACTGAAGGGGTTTTAACCCCTTCAGCGCCACGGGAGGGGGACCCTGAGGGTGGGGGCAGCCACAGGGCACTACAGTGCCAGGAATACCGCTTTGTTTTCCTGACACTATAGTGATCCTTTAAGATAAGAGGAGAGAAAATTGTTTTTTTTTTTAAAACAGAGTGCTATCGAAAAAATAAATTACTTGTTTTCCCTGAATATGTGATAGTAGCTAAACATCCTTTACTATAAGTTATTTAATTTCAAACCCTATGTATACTCACAGATGTCACAATGTTCTCTTTCACAGAGAAAAACCTTGCATTTTATCTATCAATTCCCTTGCAGGGCATTTCAAGGATATATTTGTATCAATGTAGAGTTTATCAGAGTGCATGTCCTGAAGCATCCTGCATTAAGGAGGAGGTCTGTGGTCACAAAGCTTTCTATCTCTAAATGACAATGGCTGGATAACACAACTTTCCTTTAATAGACCTAAACAAATCCTCTGACTCCGGTGAGCTATGAAATGAGGCAGCAACCTTGCTTATTGATCCACTGCCCTTCTAAATCCCTATACTAATGTACACTGTGTTACACAATCACCTGATATTAATGAAAGATTTATATAGACAGCTTCCCAGAATCACAATTGTTAGCAGTTGGGGTGCCAACTGGCCAATCCGTATCATGCATTATGATCATACTGTGAAGAAATCACCAAGTTATTTTGTTTATTTTACTTTGTTCCATTCGGTAGATGTAACTACCGAACACCGACCACCCCCAGGCTCATTAACTTCAAAGTGAACAGTCTTTTAAGCACTCTCCCTTGTTCACACGAAAGGAGGCAGTGGGACTTGGTCGTCGAGTGTCTGAAACTAAAAATCGGACACTCGACTTCCTGAACACCGGTCCAAACTGTACGAACACCTGCTTCCTTTTCCCGAACAGTTAGGAGAGTGCAATTCGGTAGTTTTGTCCCCCCAAGAACTAGGGGAACAATCGCTACTATGAGCCAGGGGGAGCAGTTTGTGCTTTTATTTGTTTTTTCAGACTTCACAAAATAGACCGGCCAAACCACTAAAACTTATGGAACTGTTTTGGGCAGGAGCCTCGTGTGTGGCCGGTCACCTAAGACTTTCATGGAATTCGAAAACCCCTAAACTGATCTGGGTGATTTTTGGATATGTTGGTCACCCAGATCAGGGCTATCAGGGGTACATTTCACGTTTTGGGGAAATTGTGAATTTTCTGCTTGGAGATAATTAAGTTATCATTATTTTGACCTAATTATCTCCAGGCAGAGAGGAGGGGATTAAATGTTTGTATTGGGAGTGTCACAGTTTTACCCTGTTTTATTATTGGCTGTATAATTTGTGTCCCTGTGCCCCACAAGGTCCACGTGGGAGATCCCCTTGCATGGGGATTTGCATAAAATCCAGTGTGGCAACCATTAAAATTCAGTTCTGTTATACTCTTCATCTAGATTTCAGCTGATGTTTGGGTACCTGTCTGCTTTACTGGGAGAATCTACCTGGGAAGGTGTTTATTCGTATTGGAGAATCGCTTACTTTATTTCCCGAACGGCGAGTTATAATTACTCATGGTCTGGCCGTTAGGGAGGAAACTGATACACATACTACCTAGTGAAATACAACTATGGCCAATATCTCACCAAGTGAGCCCCTCTAGCATGACAGCTTGAGCAATTTTGCAAATAGAAAAGGCAAAAACTGTAGGATCCAGAGGTGCAAAACTGGTAAAGACCTTCTCCATAAAACAAACGCCAATGAATTTGCTGCCACAGGTGTTTCAGCTACAAACTGAATATTGGTAAAAGATGATTATGCAACCAGAAAATGAATGAAATATTATGTATAGAATTATTTTTAAAGACACAATAAAAAAAAAAATGAAAAAAATTACCATGGAGAAAACTAGCACTTTTTAGATCTTTTAGAACACTGCATGCATATGACCAAAATCATTTCTCCTCTTTTATGTATCCTTTCTCTATGCTGACTCGTAGATATTTTGTATCTTACAGTCCTTTTCTTAAATTTTCAAGCGATTTAGGGTAATAGAAACAAAGTGATAGCGAATAACAATTATGTTTATAGTATGTTTAAATTATAGACAGAGTAACTATGCAAGAAGGCAGTGAAAAGAAAATATAGTAACGACAAGGCAGGATGCCTGTGAGGATAAGTTGTAGTGGATAAATACCAAAGCTATTAATAAAGGCACACTACAAGAACCACAACTACTACAGCTCGCTACAGTGATGATGGTGCTAGGAGTGCCCTGGCACCATGCCATTGTAAGTAGTCAAACCATTTTAGAGTGGTTTTGACTTCTTATTTGTGTCTCCACAGCCTTCAGAGAGCCATTATATCCTACTTGGAAGTTTCTGTTAGCTCTCCTGAGCTAAGCCCCGGAATGCAGCACTAGCTCATTGGGTGAGAGTGTCAGCTGATCTCTGATAAGCATTACTGGGCTAAGTTGAGACAGAGATCTTCCAGCTCTCTCAAGGTCGTAGTGAAGTCAGAAGTGACACCTGGCAGAATCAAGGTAATAGGTCAAACCGTTCTAAAATGGTTTGACTGCTTACATTGGAGGAGTGCCGGAGCACTCCAGGCACCATAACTATTACAGTGTGTTATAGTGGTTATGGTGCTTGGATTGTTACTTTAAGAACATCAGTCTTGTGGCTAAAGCACCATCACCACTACGGTTCATTGTAAAAAAAACAGTTGCTCTAATGGATTTATGTATAAATAAAAATGGAAGGATATTGTACGTGTAATTCATTATGCCAAAAATGAATGCTGGACACAACCTGAAGTTAGACCTACTCCACTGCAAGATTAACAAAGTCAATAACATCAAGAAGAAACGGTTGGATAGTATTTGCAATTAGCTGAAACACAATGTGACACACAATGCTATCATGTTTCCTGGGGGAAAAAAGACCCCATTAGATATGTTCTTATTAGTTTGCTAGTAGATAGTAATGACTCAGAGGGGCAACGGTCATAAGGGAGGCATTATTACACATGCACTATGCTGTGCAGACATAGAATACAGTTTTTATTTACTAAACAGTGATTAATGGTGAACTTATAACTGTCTTCACTTAAAGCTAAAACAGCAGAGTTTGAAAAAAGTCTCCAATCTGCCTCCAGTGAAAAGTATTTCCATCTCGGTTCTTTTTATCTAAATTTAGGTATAGTGCTCAACAAAATCACAGAGGTAGAGAGCCCCCCTCCCCTCCCAAGAAACGGAGTCAGCATGGAGAAAGAATACATAAAAGAGGAGAAATTATTTTGATCATACGCATGCAGTGTTCTAAAAGATTTAAAAATTTACAGTTATCTCCATAGTAAATTTCAACAGTTTTTCACAGAAATATTCATTTTGAAAGATTGCAAAATTTAGAGGGGAGAAAAAAAAAGAGAAATTAAACAGAAAAGAATTGCCAGAAAGATTGATAAATCTGTTGTGCTGCTCAAAAAAAGGTGCACATTCAAAAAATGAAAGGTTAGGGCACAAAACAAGCAACGGATGGAAAAATAAGTTTAAGAAGCACAGAGGAGTAGGTAGGCATACAAAATATTTAAATGTGTGTACAGGACAATTATTCTACTGCACTGCTGAGTTACTCCAACAGAAAGGGATGGGTGGAGGAGCAAGTTTGAAGAAAGCAATCTTTGAATGATTGACCTTCACTCTTTCATGTTATTATGCCATATAGAAAACTACCTTAGTTAGGCCAACAATATTTTACAAATCTATGTTGGAGATGAATCATGTAGGGGCTAATATGAATCAGTTTTGGCGTTTGGTTTTCTTATTTTAGGATAACATTTTATTTGTGAATTCTACTTTAATTTGAGCCTTCAGAAGGTCCTGAATAATTCTTAATACTTTTAGATAACTATGTTACTGCAGGTATGGGTTTTGCTAAACAGCCACTGAACAGTTTAATGACCTATATATATATATATATATATATATATATATATATATATATATATATATATATATATATATTTATATATAATAACAAGTCTATCTTTTGGAGGTAGAATACCTCTTTTATTCACCCAAACTCTCAACCACTCATTCCTGACTTGATTTCCTTTTCCAGGAGCTTGTTATACTTGGTGTGTGACTGTTTTACAGGGCCCAACAGCAATAAAACTCACAGTAATGTGTGTCTAAACTGCACTAAATGTGCTTAGAAATTACTTTGTGTAAATGCAATACTTTGCTTTTGTTCTGCATGACATACCCAATTACATAAACAGCCATCTATAGGTCGTGAAGTCCTGAAAATTATTAATAATACACCACGCACTCATCAGATGTCATCCATACCCCTAAAACATCAGTTTTTCTCTTCCATGATCTGATTTATTGGTAGGTATGGAATAAACAAAGTGTACAACTTAGAAACAAGTATAGCAGCCAGTTAGCTCTGCAGAAAGCACACTCAAATAGAAGAAGATATCAAGGTGTGTAGGGAGGGGGGGTTCTATGTTTTCTCAAAGGGGGCTGACTGCTTTGTGAGTTCAAGGAGTGCTACAGGGTCAGCAAAAGTTTATCACCCATAAAAAGAAAAAAATAAATAACACTTCAAAATCCTTGAAATAATTGCCATTCCATTCAGTTAAGAAGAATGTAAGATGGGTTCTTGGGGAAAAAAGAAAAAAAGAAAGAAAAGAAAATGCTTTAGGAAGAATAGAAAGGTATGGAGAAGTGACGTGTGACTTTAATGTGAAATGACCAAATGTGAAGTAAAGAATCTTCCCCAGAATATCAACTTTAGCATATTACCCTTGCTGGCTGGCTGGCTGGCTGGCTGGCAGGAGCAGGGGATGCAGTCATTTCAATAAACCCATCTGTTTTAGTGCTTTTACAGAATTAAGAGTCTTAGAACAACAGTTGGAGAAAAAATGGTGGTGGTGGTGGAGGGGGGGAAACCAGTAGTTCCATATGTAAAGGAACACCATTGCATTAGGAATACAACATTTTTATCCCTAAAACTATAAAGCACTAGCCACCATTTAGGTTACTGGACCCCCGCTGTCAGGGTTAAAAAGGTGATTTTACGTAACTCTTCCCTCATGCAGCGCTGGTCTCTGGTATGCAGCTCCAACTCTTTGGCTGAGATCATCAAGATTGATGATCTCGGCGAATCCAATGCTTCCACGTAGGGAAGCATTGCAGAGGGTTAACGTACATGTGCGGCTAAATGACACGCTACACCAATCTGATGGTATCTGAGACCATGTGATATAAATAATGGAGTCTTACTTCACTATTCCAGAGAAACCCCTCTAGTGTCTGTAAGAATGACAGCTACTTGAGGCAGATTAACCCAGCAATGAAACCATTGCCATTCAGCGGGACGGTTGAAACAACGGGAACATGGCACCAAGACTACTTCATTGAGATGAAGTCGTCTGCGTGCCTTTAGCGTTGCTTTAAACCCATAGCAATTAAAGCGAACTACACTTAAAACTGAATGTGCTGACTCTTTTGCAAAATGCAAGTTTCTTTTACTTTATATTACATTTTACAAGAAACATGTATTTTCACAAGAAACATGTATGATGGCATGACTTCTAGTAAGTCATGTGCCTGCTGTTATTACCCTTTTGATTTGATGCAAACACATACATAAACTGCGAGATGTTAAACATTAAGCCAAGCAACAGGTTTTATACAGATCAGAGGAAAAGTTCAAAGAGACTGCTAGCTCACTAATATTGCACAAGCCTAGGAATTATAACATGAACGTACACGATTAAAACAAATAAATGCATTTTTCCTTTAACAAGAAATTAAAAAGAAAAAAGAAAAAAAAAAGGTCTGCTGCAGATGCAAAAATATCTGCAGTTGTTAAAGCAGCTGTGCCACCTCTGAGCATTTCGTGAAGATAAAATCTTTATGACATACTAATTTTGACTGCGCTGGAATTTCATTGAAATTCCAAAGCAATGAAACAATATCATAAGGTAAATTAGGAACTATATTGTTATGGTCAAGTCTAAAAGGTAACAGCACAGCTTCCACTGTCAAGTTTTTGCAAAAAGAGTCTTATGGAATCCTTCATGGATATCTGTGTTCTACCCTTGAACACGCACAAGTACGACGGTGATGTGGAATCCTAGTAAATCAAGATCCAGGATCTAATCATGGATGCCAGGAGAAATATGACAGCATCTGTCATGTAATATGTTTGAAGTGCCTAGGAACTCACCCCACAGAGCAGAACACTCTTGTCAAACTGAGCAACATCACAGCCCACCCTGTACTTATTATTATTATGTTATTATTTATATAGCGCCATCAAATTCCGCAGCGCTTTACAATGGGTGGACGAACAGACATGTAGTTGTAACTTAATAAAATATGTGTCACCACTACTACCAGTTTGGTAGCAGTGACACATATTGGAAATATAAATCTTTACTGCTAAAAGCTATTACCAAACATTTCTGATTATTTTATTTTAAATAAACCAGGCTAGATGTATTTCTATATTTCATAAATTCTAAAACTTTCACCAAGCCCTTGAATGTGCAACCTTCTAAGATGGCTCATAGACAATATTTTTTTACATAAATGCATTTTGACTATTTTGTTTTTCTGTTAATAAGAATAATTTTTGCCTGTTTTCTATTGCCTGTTTTCTTGTTTGTTTTTTGGTCTAGTTCCAAGAGTAGAGAAGCCAAGCAATGCACTCTGCTGTCAAAATTGCTAGATATACATATAAAAACTAAATAATTCAGCCCCATCTCTCTTTTTGGCAGATTAACAGATTTGCTACACACTGGCAGAGAATGATACATGATACTACTAATATACCTTACCATAGGTGTGGGGCATATACACAGTGTATCTGTTAATACATATTCTACCACCATGTCCATTTCAAAAGAACATGTAACATCTCAAAAGAACACTGGAACAAAACACAAAACAAAAAGCTGAAAAAGTCACTGGTACACTATCCCAAATCCCAAATCTGACCTGCGAGGTTTGCCTTGATGTTGGCAGGTAAACTTACACTTACATTATTTAAATAAACATAGTGATCTGGGAAAGTGTTCAGGTAGGTTTTTTGATTTGGGTTTGTTTTTGGCACTATAGCCATTGATGCTGCCGAAAAAGTAGTGGTATATATATATATATATATATATATATATATATATATATATATATAAAGAATCCAACAAGGCAGGCTGCTCTCAAGACTTTAAAATGAAAATGTATTAAGTAGTATTAAAAATAACGACCAACGTTTCGGTCTCCGCTCGGGACCTTCCTCAGGGTCAAAAAGACAACAAGACAACAAAGGGTGATGCGCCCGGTATTGGAAAAATTTTCAAGCGCAGGGGATTATTGCATTTTTATATATGTATATATGTATATATAGGTTTTGTAATCTACAGCATACATCTTTTAGAGTGCACTTTACAATGGTGCCCTAGTGCACCACACCCCTCTCAGCCAATGAACGAAGACCCTCACTGACAGTATGAATGTGAAACTTAGACTACCTGTATTTTTTGGATGATGTGCAAGAGGCTCTATGGGATTTCCATAGAGGAAAATTAGGTTTTCCGGATTCTACAGATGGGCATATTAGCACAGCAAAACATTTTCCTTATAGCAACCACTTGTAATCTTGTTTGTACTCAATTCAGGATAAAACCTCTAAGGCTTTACAAAAATAAAGGATGCTAAAGGGACTTAAAACGTGTGGCAACTTCAAGCAAGTTTACATATTGAATATACTAAACTGCCAAAATCGCCTGCAAATGTGTGGACATCTACTCAAAATGTGTCCTTACAAATGTCTCTGTAGTAGAATGACAATACTATACAATACTAAAGAGGGCAATGTTAATCGTATTAAAGGAACACTATAGGGTCAGGAACACAAACATGTATTCCTGACCCTATAGTGTTAAAAATACTACCTGTCCCCCCCTAGCCCCTTAATTATAGTGACATCTTACTTTTATTCTAGTCTGCTGCTGCTGGCTCTGCCCCTGATCTGCCTCCGTGGCTAACATCATCAGAAGTGATGATTTCATCCAATCACATTGAATTGCCTGAGATGGGCAATTCTGATGATCTCAGCCAAGGAGGCGGATGCTTGGGCGAAGCCAAACACTGCCCTTGCCAATCAGCATCTCCTCATAGAGATGCATTGAATCAATGCATCTCTATGAAGTAAGTTCAGTATCTCCATGTAGAGGGTGGAGATACTGACAGAGGAAACACCTCTAGTAGCCATCTCAGGAGTGGCCACTGTACGTGTCCCGAGGGAGCAATGTAAACACTGTGTTTTCTCTGAAAAGACAGTGTTTACAGCAAAAAGCCTGCAGGGACCGACTATGCTCACCAGAACAACTACATTAAAGGGACACTATAGTCCCCCAGACCACTTCAGCTCAATGAAGTGGTCTGGGTGCCAGGTCCCTCAGGTTTTAATCCTGCAGATGCAAACATAGCAGTTTCAGAGAAACTGCTATGTTTACATTGCAGTTTCAGAGAAATTGCTATGTTTACATTGCAGGGTTAAGCCAGCCTCTAGTGGCTTTCTTCCGGACAGCCACTAGAGGTGCATCTGCGATGCTGGAGGCATATTATGCCTCCATTGCGCAGAGCGTTCATAGGAAAGCACTGAGAAATGCTTTCCTATTGACAGCTTGAATGCGCGCGCGGCGCTTGTCGCGCATTCAGCTCAGCTGACATCGGCAGAGGGAGCTGATGTCGGCGGGGGAGGAGAGGTCACTAGCGCTGAGGGAGCCCAGAGCTGGATTAAGGTAAGCTGCTGAAGGGGTTTTTAACCCCTTCAGCGCCACGGGAGGGGGACCCTGAGGGTGGGGGCACCCTCAGTGCACTATAGTGTCAGGAAAACCGCTTTGTTTTCCTGACACTATAGTGATCCTTTAAGCTGTAGTTCTGGTGACTATAGTGTCCCTGTAAGTCCGCAACCCTTACACATTGTGTAACGCAAGATAAAGATACTCATATTATTAACCCTTGCAGGTTGGGTGAAAGACTGGGGGTGAGCAAGCTGATAATTACTTCATAATAGTTATAGGAATGCCACTTGCATGTCTTTGCTTTCTTTTATTGAGGGTTAATTAAAATATATGGATATAGATATTGGGCCCCTGTTTAAAGTTGTTGTAGATTTTTATTTTTTGTACTTTTGTTTCTTTAAATTGGATGGTTCTTGTCCATATTTGTTGTGAATATTAGCTTCAGATTTTAATAAGTAACATTTTTTACAAAAAAGTTTCTAAAAACCGCACAGAAAAGCAAATGTGTAACCTTAACATTGGACAATGGGTAGATTAACAGGCCATGCTTTGATGTCGCATTGTGGTAAATGTAGAGGAACTAATATTTTAGGGATAGACGGTGACTGTTTAGATATTAGTGGATTTCCGGAAACTTAGGAATGCCATAAACACTGTACTAAGTACAAAAGAAAATCAAGAATTAAGGCTGATATTTTTAATTAGGATATGGGCAGATAAGATTGGTCTTTTTTTTTTTTTTTATCTTTTAACACTGTTCTGTGTTAAGTAGAAAATGCAACTACCTACTCCCTATGTCAAATGATCTGTCAGTTTAACTATAAAATGCGAGTTTTGAGGAGGTGGCTTACAAAATTCAAGTTAAAATTGCCATCTACGTGAGCAGTACTAGACTGTCTGGAGGGCTATTATACATTAACTTCAAAGTCACTGTTTAATGAAGAATCCCCTTGGATGAAAAGAAATGAGCAATAGTTGCAAAAAAATTGAGAAGTCCTATTGCATTATTAACCTATTAAAGATACACTCCAAGCATCATAACCACTACAGCTTGCTTGGGGCCAGAAGTGCTGTAACACACCGCCACAGTAAGTAGTCAAACCATTTTTTAATGTATTAAGTTTTTACCACTATTACCATCGGAGAGCTGAAATTCTTAAGCAGGAGTTTCCGTTAGCTCCCCTGGCTGAGAATGTTAGTGGTTATGGTGATTGGAGTGTTCCTTTAATGAATGTTAATGCCATCTTCAGATTCTTGGTCTGACCAATCCAAATCTAGTATGGATTGTTCTACTTATTTACTGCTATTCTTGACATACTGATCCCTTAGAGACCATTTGACTATACAAAAGAGCACAGAGCATAGTTTTGTCTGCTACCTCATTGTCCAACACTAGGATGATCAGTCATAATTCTCTTGACTCCCTGAACACACACACACATGAATAGCAAGAGATGGAATCCAACAGAGGCTAAATTGTAAATAGACTTTGCAAAATATTATAGGCATTTTTATTTTCATGCTAAATCTATCCTACACACTGCAGGTTTTCGGTGCAAAATACCATATTGCCAGATATTTCATCAATACCATTTTATTTTTTCTTATTTTGGACCTTCACATCGCTCTCTGCCATGGATTTGGTGTGCCTGTTCTGATCTGGGTCTGATCTGATACTCTCATCCTATCAGCAGAAGTCTGGCAACCTCTTTATTAGACTGCACTGCCTAGTCGAAAGGACGCTGAGAGGTAGACATCTAGTGCTCTGGAGGACCAACGTGAAAGTTACAAGTAATTTAAAGTACCATGACAACTTCTGCTTTTTGAAGTGGTCATGGTGGTAGGAGCCTCGATTTGCAGTGTCTCAAATTGAAACACTGCACATCCAGAGATATTTGATTGTGTGCTGGGGGATAGTTTAACCCCCAGCACATGTGTCATAGGCAGCCCAGAACTCTGTTTACAATGTCAATTCGGTGCTCCCTTTACGTCTGTTGCCAGCTTGCACTGCACGTTGCCAACAGACATAACGGCTTCTCCCTTTCAGAAATGACCTGCAAGAGAGAAGCTGTTGTGTTCCCTCCCTCTCACAGACACCGATGGAAGCCCTCCTACCGCACTATCCCATCTGTAATTGCCTGCCCTCCCTCTGGCTCTGTTCCCTCCCTTTCCCCTCCCATTGTGAGCTCAGAGTGTGCACATGCACACTGAGCCCTTTAAATCCTCCAATGAAAGACTCCATGGTAAGCCTTTGATTGGACCTCGGCTTTGCTCCCATGCCATCACACAGGGGTGTGCCGAGGAGCTTTTCCCAGAACTGGATTGAGGCAAGTAAATCTTCTCTTAAAACGCTCTTTGAGCATTTACATTGGGGGAAACAGATAAAATAATGCCGATAGGGCATATTCTATATTGTACAAAAAAGGGTTGGAGAAATCCTTTAAACCATTAAACGGTTTAATCCCTGTAGTTGTTATGGGGTACAAAGCATTAAAGGGACACTATAGGCACCAAAACAACTTTAGTTTAATGAAGCAGTTATGGTGTATAGATCATATGCCCCTGCAGTCTCTCTGCTCAAGTCTCTGCCAGTTAGGAGTTAAGTCACTTTGTTTATCCAGGAGAGCCGTAGTAAGCTCCTTTTGTGCATGAGGTAAGGACAGAAAATTGTGTCCTCCCATGATATTGATCTAGACAAAGACAGTGGTACAGCATGATTCGTATAATTATATATTGAACCAGACACAGAAGGTGGTACAGCATGACTCCTATTACTATATAGGGATCCTATTACTATATAGGGATCCAGATATTGCAGCCCCCCATAGTAAAACTGCATTGGGGCCCCATTATCGCACCACTGAACACATAACCAAATGAAACTGCCAGTGCCATGCATAATCCAACTTCACAAAGTGGCACATTTATCCCATCATTTGCTACAGTGCCTGCATTGCCCCACAGTGCAGGACTAAGACTGCCTCTAGTGGTTGTCAGACAGTCACTAGAGGCACTTCCTGCTTGCTAGGTGACTTGCTAGGGGAGTGTGCGAGGGAACTATAGTGTAAGGCAGCATTTCCCAATTGGTGTTCCATGGAATACTAGGGTTCTGTGAAAACAAAATTGGGTTTCCAAGGCGATTTGCCCATTGGGTGGCCCAAGCATTTAGGGCCACCCGATGGGTATCACTAAACAGGGGTCTGCTTAGGTGCCGCGGCCATCTAAGACAGCGACCGAGCCCCTGTAGTATGGGATGCTGGGAGGAAGTGACAGCACTTCCTCATAGACAAAGCATGCCAGCTGGAGGAAGAGAGGGCGCAGCAGGGACTGAGCAGCACACCAACCTCAGCCAGCAGCACTAAAGGTGTGTGTGTCTATGTGCGTGTACATCTGTATTTCAATGCGTATCTGCCAGTGTGTATATGTGTGTCAACGTGTATATCTGTGTATGTCAATGTGTGTGTCTGTGTGTGTTATCTATGTGTCTGTGTCTGTGTGTATGTGTCAATGTATATGTCAGTGTGTGTGTGCGTGTGTATGTTTCAGTGTATCTCTCAGTGTGTGTGTAGATGTGCCAATGTGTGTATCATTGTACCAGTGTATGTGTGTGTGTATCTGTGTGCCAAGGTGTGTGTGTATCGGTCAGTAAGTGTATCTGAGTGTGTACATGTGCGTTTCTGTGTCTGTATCATGATGTGTGTATGTGTCACTGTGTGTGTTTCTATGTGTCAATGTATCTGTCAGTGTATATCTGTGTGTCATTGTATTTGTGTGTGTGTGTGTGTGTGTGTGTGTGTGTTTGTATGTGTCAGTGTATCTGTCAGTGTGTGTGTGTGTGTGTGTATGTGTCAGTGTATCTGTCAGTGTGTGTGTGTATATGTGCCAATGTGTGTATCATTGTGCCAGTGTGTGTGTGTGTATCTTTGTGTGTAGTTGCCAGTATGTGTATATGAGTGCCAAGGTGTGTGTATCGGTCAGTATGTGTATCTGAGTGTGTATGCATGCGTTTCTGTGTCTGTATCATGATGTGTGTATGTGTCACTGTGTGTGTATCTATGTGTCAATGTATCTGTCAGTGTATATCTGTGTGTCATTGTATTTGTGTGTGTGTGTGTGTGTGTGTGTGTGTGTTTGTGTATGTGTCAGTGTATCTGTCAGTGTGAGTGTGTGTGCCAATGTGCCAATATGTGTATCACTGCCTCTAGCATGTAAGCTCATTGAGCAGGGCCCTCACCCCTCTGTTCCTGCTGGTTACAATTACGTGTCTGTTACTCCATTGTACAGTGTTACGGAGTTTGCTGGCGCTATATCAATAATACATTAATAATAATTGTGCCAGTGTGTGTATCTGTGTGCCAAGGTGTGTGTATCTGTCAGTATGTGTATCTGTGTGTCAGTGTTTGTCAGTGTGTGCATGTGCCAGTGTGTTTATCTGTGTGTCAGTGTGTATCTGTGTGTGTGTATGTGCCAATGTGTGTATCTGTGTATCAGTGTGTGTGTATGTGCCAGTGTGTATCTGTGTGTCAAGGTGTGTGTTATCTGTGTGCCAGTGTATCTGTCAGTGTGTGTATTTTGCCAGTGTGTGTATCTGTGTTAAGGTGTGTGCATCTTTGTTTGTATGTGCCAGTGTGTGTATTTGTGTCAGTGTGTGTGTATGTGTTAGTGTGTATATGACTGTGTATGTGTCGGTGTGTTTCTGTTTGTTAATGTGTATGTATATGCGTAAGTATGGAGCAGTACATGTACATATATCCCAGCAATCAAAAATCAACACAACACACACTCCTGCAAACACAAACATGACATACAAAGACACCCCTGAACTCTAACGCTAAAATGATATACAAGCACTCAAACACCAATACTACACACAAATGTACATCCGCATTTAAAAATCCAACACTACATCCAAACACATCTCTGCACGCAAATGCAAACATTACATACAAACATATCCCTGTATTAAAATGCCAAAATTATACACAAACACCAACTCTACACACAGAAGCACACCTGAGACTAAGTACTACAATCTGTTTATGATCTGTAGAAATTAGTAGAAACATTATGCTCTGCTAATTAAAAGATTTACGCTATGGCACCAAATAATTTTTTGGGTGGAGGAGTGGGTGGGGGGATAGGGGGTTTTCACGATCTTGATACACTGTGTCAAAGGGTTCTACGGGAAAAAATAATTGGGAACCTCTGCTGTAAGGAATACAAGTTTGTTTGCTTATAGTATGCCTACTACCTACCGTTGTGTAATCCCACAGTTAATTATTATGCCAACCCACTACAAGTATAGTCATCTTCCAGGAAAACTGACACTGGGATTCTATTCTACCTTACTCTATTGGAGCTACAAAGGTGTGATTCTGAGGACAAAGTAGCAATCTACTAAAGATTAGTAGGACAACCCAAAATAGGTCCAGACCACTAAAAAATACAGATGTGTCGCTGGGAATGGAATGAACATCATGGAGATTAACATGCTGCCCTAGAGGCCTAGCAATTGGCTGGCAAATATGGAGATTCTGGTGGAAATCTGGTCAATCCAGAGTCCTTTATCCACAAAGTCATGAAATATTTATGAGCACACTCTCCAAAGATAATTGCCATGGGGCAAAATGGTCGTCTTCATATACACGGATTTTTAACACATGATGATAATTAAGTTGCAGGATCATTTATCCCATTTTGTTTTCATCCATTAAAAATTTAAAATGTTATAAAGATTTAACGGATGTCTTTTTTTAGAAATACTTTCATCTATGATATCACTGACCTTCGCACTGTGAATATAAAAGTAAATGTATTTACAAGGTCTAGTAGCAGAAACGTGCATTGATTGCGGGCTCTAATACATTATATCCAATCAATAAGATAATTCTCTATTTATAAAACAATTGCTTATTAAGCTCCTTTAACCTCGTTCCTGTCCACATCTAGTGCACTATTGTATAGTACATGACATCCTATGTAATTATTGTACAGTAAGGCATTTCTGTTATTGTGTGTGAATTCTGGCACTCACATAGTTAATCCAAAAGTTTATGAATTCTAAGAGGCTAAAGTGCCTACATTTTAAGAGCAGGCTCCAGGAATTTTCATAAATTTTAAGCAAGACTACCATTTGTTTCTAAACATACATTTGGCCACAAGTATTACATACCTTTCAAAGCACTTGGTTCATCCTTCAAGCTTGTCCTTATATTCTACAGACTACATTTTGTTTTATTGATTTGTTTGTTTGGCTTTGGCATCTAACAAAGCGGAACTAGAGTTCAATTCAGGACACAGTGTATTTTAATATACGCTTGATTGCTGCCGATTAAGGGTTAAGTAAGTCCCTTCACTTTGGAAACATCTGCCAGGAGAAAGGCATTATTATATGGGTGCAGGTTACTGCCTTATACCACGACTATAAATACTTGATGCCTCATACCTTGAGCGGATTTCCTGGTCACGGTGGGGCTGGGGATTACACACGCCACCCAGCGCCGTTCACTAGTGACGTGACTCACACATTCCCGAGAGGATAACGGAAAACCATGATCCTATTTAAACAAGAAGCTTGGAGGTACAGTAAAGGGAGGGTGAAAGAACTATAGATATACGACCTATATGTGTGCGTGTAAAAATGGGTGGCCTGGTGTAGAGATTTTTTTCAGGATTTAAGTGACTTCCATGAAAATGTACCCACATTCAAAATAATTTACAAGAAAAAGGAACCTTGTGGAAATAACCAAGAATGAAATGGAAATGCATGATAGAACCACAGGGGAAAGATGAAAAGAATGTTTTATTTATCATAACTATTCATTGGGGAAAACAGTAGCACATAGAAATCACATTGCCAAGGTAGAAGGCTAAATTAAGGACAATTATTATACATTGTTTAACTAGATTAGGTCAAGATAGCGAGCATGATTTTTTCAAGTGAAACAAAATGGACAAAATAGAGACTGGTAGCAAAGATTCAAAGAAAATATTATATCCATGAACACCCTAAGACTATGAAGGTCTTATAGCCAGATTATATGGAAGGGTTAACATTCTAGTAGACATGTGTGGGGCTGATGAGGCCTTGGAGGAAACAAAAGGAAGTTATCTAGAGTACCAACTAGCTGCCAGGCTTTCCAAAAGAACAAGGAGTAATATTAACTAATTTTGTTTCTTTGCAAACATTGTTTCAATAATAATGAGATTGTTATCATCCAGTTTCCTAATAAATGTCTTTAAATGTGTGAATGTCATTAGTAGAGAGTGTGATGTTGCGTTCCGGAGAGGTTTTTCTCGTTTAGACAGAGCTTGTAAAGTGTGGGATGGGCAATACACATTTTACATTTCATAATTGTTTTTCACTTTTATGTGTGTTATGCAACAAGTGCCACTAGGGGTAACAGATACTTCCTTTACATAGTTAAAGTGGGGGCAGTATATACCTCCTCCCAAGCTAACTAACCCAGTGTATAATGAAGGAAATTCATCTCTTTTAGTAGCATGGGTTCTAGGCTACCTGTGTGCCCCATATAATAATAATAATAATAATAATAACAACCAGGAAAGGCACATTCAGATTACTCTGGTTTTCAAGTACGTCCTGGGGATGTTACCTTAGCCCAACATCCAGGGATTGTTACTATACCAAGAGATCGGATAACCTTTGGTCAAATCGCATAATTGTTTTTGTCTATTACTTGTCCATTACTTTGAATGGAAATGTGAAATTTCAGTTATAAATACTTCTCCTTAATAAAGACAAGAATGAGCCACCAACGTTTTTGGTGTAATTATAGAGTAGTTAAGGGGCCATTTTAGTATCCAATCACATACATGCAATAGGGTGGCTGAATTTAATAGGCTCTCTGCTCACTAATGGTTGAAGAGCCACAGATTGCGCACACAGGATTACAATCTTCAGTGCTGTCTGTATTCATTGCAAATTACAGTTATCCTCAATATCAAATCTATTAACCAACGATAGAAGAATATTTCATACCGAATGTATACAGACAGGATTTAGGTTTCCAATTCTACAGGAACACTATAGGGTCAGGAACACAAACATGCATTCCTGACCCTATAGTGTTAAAACCACCATCTAGCCCCCCTGTTGTCTCCCTAAATATAGTAAAATCTTACTTGTATTCAAGTCTGCAGCTGCTGCCACTGCCTCTGATCTGATCAATTCCACGCCCTGTCTTGATAGGGTCTTATTCCACCCCAGTACAGCACAACCTCTGACAACATGCCCTGTTTAACACCATATACTTATAGATGCCTTACACGTATTTGGAAAACAGCCACCACTTTAAGGCAGTCTGACTCTGCCCCAATGTTGTTACCCAATGAACACAGGACGATAAGCAAGCCTTTCTTTTAGGGCTTTTCAGGATCTGATGACCTAATGAAAAGCCAATGGGTGATGTCAGTTTGTCCGATCAAACCAACATCTTAACATGATTACTTTCTTTGCCTTTCAGGCTCATCTCCAGCCATCAAAAAAGGAGGGACTACACCTCTTAACTAATCGTGGCACATTTCCCATTAAGTTTTACCACAAGCATGGATAGGATTTTATTTAATTGTAACAAACACTGGGGTGGGGGCGCTGTCCCACCTGCCCCTATGGACTAGCCTCCACTCATATTGTTGACTGCAGTAATAAAAATCTGTGTAGCCAAATCGTATAGGTATTATCATAAGATTTGGTATTCATTATAGAACACCAAGGATGGTGTACAGAGTGTGCCAAGTCTTGAATCTGTGGAAAGCACTAGGGGTGAAATATCCCTCCAAGTCTGAAAACACTTTTATGCACGAGTCATAGCCATGGGCTTAACAGTGGTCTGAACTACATGAGTAAACAATAGAATCACCTGTGCACTAAGGATTATATTTTTACCAACACTATTTTACATTAAGCTTTGTTTTACATCCTCCAAGTAAACTTTTGGAAGCAGAAGGTGTAATTTCTAAACAAACAGACAGGCAGAAAGATAGGTAGACAGACTGACATACAAACACAATATATTTAATATATAAATTAAAATAATATTAGTTTAGTGTTAATATATACCTATTACTAGCTAATGATATGAGGTTAGTGTGAAATTCATCCTAGAGTAAAGAAAAAGTGAAAGAAAACACATAGTTTTTGTGAAAGAAAAAAAAGCATTTTTACTTCATTTTTATCCAGCACTGCTTGCCTCCGTTCTGCCATCTATGGCTGAGATTATCAAGATTGATGATCTCAGCCTATCCAATTTTTACCTATAAAAAAAGCATTGAAAGGGCAGTGTGCATGTGCGGCAAAATGTCTCTCTGTGCAAATCAGATGGTCTCTATCAGACCATCTGATTAAATTAGCTAAGTTTCATTTGGCTATTTGGATGGAAGAGTCTCTAGTGGCAGACAGTGTGGCAGCCACTAGAGGCATTTAAACCCTGCAATGTAAACATTAGAGATGTCGCAAACCGTCCGCGAACTTCCCGCGAACGGTTCGCAGCGAACCGTTCGTGGGGAACTCCGGTCAGCTGACACATCCCTGCCAATCTCCGGCAGACCCTCCCTCCCAGACCCTCCCACCTCCTGGACAGCATCCATGTTAAAGCTGCTTTCAACATGGATGCTGTCCAGGAAGTAGGAGGGTCTGGGAGGGAGGGTCTGCTGGAGATTGGCCGGGATGTGTCAGCTGACCGGAGTTTGCCACGAACGGTTCGTGGCGAACCGTTCGTGGGAAGTTCGCGGACGGTTCGCGACATCTCTAGTAAACATTGCAGTTTCTGCAGAACAGAAATGTATAACATAACAGAGTGAACATGGACATGGCACCCAGATCACTTCTTTGAGATTAAGAGGTCTGGGTGCCTGCGGAGTTCCTTTAAGGAACAGTCTTTATGCCATATAAGTCAGCAAGCAACACAGTAATACACTTGTACCTATATACGATAAAAGCAAATATGTCCCAACGTCACAGCACGGAGTACACCTTTGAAGCCCTGCACCAGCCATCAACATCAGATAGTAGTGATATGTTATATAGACCCGTCTGGTGAACCTTCCCTAGATCCTAAGATAAAACAGGTTGTTTACAGATGGTTGTTTACGGATATGTCTATTACACTGTATGTTCTCAATAAAGGTGCCCATTCCTGTCCATATGTATGTAGCAGCAATTGTGACAGTTGAGTAGAGTACCTAAATCGCATACACATAGCCTAAAATTCCTAGTGCTCCAGATTTAACCCTTGCCCTACTCACTGAGCCTTCTGTCTGGAATAGCCACAGTAAGAACTAACAGCTCTTTGTTTAGCACTTCCAAATAATCCTTAAAATGTGACAGTTATTACATGAGAGCTTCAATAGAAGGTATTCAAAATGCCTTTTCACTGACACAAATGACAAAAGAATTGAAATTAATTGCACAACTCTGCAGATCTGCAGTCAGAAAACAGGAACTAGATAAAGTGTGATTTATAGATTATTACGGAGTTTTCACTATCATAGCTAGCTGCTAATTTTAAATAAACCACTCTTGCTATATGGCATATCAGCTGGCTTTTTAAATTTTGGAAACAAACCTTTCTAAAATAAATATTTTGTGAATCTGGTGATATTGTCAATTCCGAATCTTAAAAAAAAATAAATCATAAATGCCTACTCACTGCACAGAGCGGATTACAAAATAAAATGACTGTCATATGTTAAAGGGGAGCACATTTCCAATATGCTGTAACACTGGTTTCTGTGTAACCTGTAGTACAGGGGGGAAAGGTCTGTAATCGAATCCATGTCACACTACACTCAATGCAGGATCTATTTACAAAACAGAATTGTGGTGATTAACAAGCAACTTTTAAATATGGCCGGGATGGACATTTTTTGGACATCAGATAATGTATCCTAAAATCATGAAAACTCTGTTTATATAATACTGATCTAGAAGAACAAAATCTCATACAAAGGTGATAAAAAAAAAAGCTATTTTAATTATGACCGATATAAACCTTCAGTTCTGGTATTTTGCTGTACAGCGCTACAAAATTTGTCGGTGCTTTACAAATAATGTACAGGATACTGAGCAGAGTTTTCTGAAGTGTCAGGCAAGGAGTTATTTGTTGAATATCCAAAAATAATGTATATTTCAGGAGTAAAATAAGCCACATCTTCAGTATACCCATTCTCACCCCAAAACTTCCTGCATCTGTGATGGTTTTAATAGAACTTCATTCTTTTCATTTTTTAACCATTTTCATTCACTAAAATATTTTGAGAAAGAAATTAAAAAAGTACAACACAACATATTGAAAAACTCTAAAACATAAAAAAAAACTTTTTTTAAGTCTTTTTGGAAGACTTATTGTCCAATTAGAAACATTTACTATTATTAGTCTTGTCAAATTGTTTTACAACTCGAATTGTTATTCAAAGTAAATAATTTACCTGTGGAAAACAGAAATATTTTTTGAGGGGAGGGTGAGGTGAGAAGGAGATTTTCTGCGGATATATGTCTTTATTTACAGTTCATTCTTAAAGGTTCTTTAAATCAAGTCTCCAAGATTTAGTAAACCAGGATATAGAAGAAATATCATGTTAGTGATTCTCAGTATTAACATACAGATGTTTGTGAACTCCTTTCAAATCATATAATGCCCAGCCCATCTGAGGTTGGCTTAGCATCATGGTTGGTGTAGATCACAAACATATTAAGTATCAAGGGTATATTTTATGTTGAAGAGATATAAGTGATTGGCTAGCAATGGCCAATGTGCACTCTTATTTTAATTTAACTCTTTGAGAGTAAGTGAAATATTGCAAAGATAGATTACACTACACACAAAGTAAACATTCAAATAGCTTGATTGTACAAACTACACACTGATATATGTGACTTACCTATAGCTTGGCTCCCATGTTATCAGAAATAGGTCAATTGTATTCAAGTTACGCAATGTTGATATGGTTCCCTATTGTCTATGAGCTATATGGATTAGAATTCAACTCCCATTCTATACATATGTCACATTTTTGTGTGCTCAATAACCTCGTTAAATAATGAGTCATAACAGGTTGGACCTTTATAACTGATAAATACAATACTGGTAAGGAATAAGAAATACTTCAATGGGGCTGGCTGTTGGCTGAGTGGCAATGGACTTTTTTGTGATATAAGCAAAATGAATGGCCATTCAATAATCTTAATGAATGGTAAACTAATAATTAATTGAATATGGTTTCACGCTACAACCAAACCTGATTGGCAAATTAATTTTATCATCTTTTGAGTAAAAAAAAAAAAAAAAAATCAGTGATGCTTGTTTAATTACCCATAGTACCACTACGGTCATCTTAAACTCTTAAACTCTTAATTCCTGAATTTGAGCTTAATGCTACAGTACTGTACATCTAATTGTCATATTACTAAACATGTAGCCAAGATGCCCATTTTTAGCTCAAGTAAGTACTGAACAACATGTTCATCTGGACTAAAATAGTAAAACAGGTAAATCCTGGAAGGCAGTACTCTGCTATGCACAGTGGCAACACGAGTAATGACCAGACCTGTAGAACCCAGGAGAACACATTAGTAGAACCATAACAATCAAAATAGAATCCTGTGGCATACTCACAGCACAGGTGAGAACCAAACACTTACCAGCTCATGTAAGTACAGTCTAGAAAACAGCAGGATTCAAAAGACCACATTAGCAGCACATATAAATAGTGAACTGCAGTACCGTGGGGACACATTAGCAGCACATGTAAATACCGAAAATGGCACACCATAGCTGGGGTCACACCAGTAGCACAGGAAAGTATCACAGGCGGCACATAGGACCCAGGTAGGGGTCACACTAGTAGCACACGTAAGTATCACAGGCAGCACACATTACCAACCCCGGGTACTAGAAACACAGGTAGCACATCACATAATGCCTAGACTGGGGCCACAGTTGTAGCAGCACAGGTACGTTTCACAGCAGACAGGACTCAAGCTGAGGGTTACACTAGTAGCACAGGTAAGTAGCACATCATAATACCCAGACCAGGTAAGTAGCACAGCACATAGTACCCGGGCTGGGGTCACACTAGTAGCACAGGTAAGTAGCACAGCACAGAGTACCCGGGCTGGGGTCACACTAGTAGCACAGGTAAGTAGCACAGCACATAGTACCCGGGCTGGGGTCACACTAGTAGCACAGGTAAGTAGCACAGCACATAGTACCCGGGCTGGGGTCACACTAGTAGCACAGGTAAGTAGCACAGCGCATAGTACCCGGGCTTGGGGTCACACTAGTAGCACAGGTAAGTAGCACAGCGCATAGTACCCGGGCTGGGGTCACACTAGTAGCACAGGTAAGTAGCACAGCACATAGTACCCGGGCTGGGGTCACACTAGTAGCACAGGTAAGTAGCACAGCGCATAGTACCCGGGCTGGGGTCACACTAGTAGCACAGGTAAGTATCACAGCGCATAGTACCCGGGCTGGGGTCACACTAGTAGCACAGGTAGGTAGCACAGCACATAGTACCCGGGCTGGGGTCACACTAGTAGCACAGGTAGGTAGCACAGCACATAGTACCCGGGCTGGGGTCACACTAGTAGCACAGGTAGGTATCACAGCACATAGTACCCGGGCTGGGGTCACACTAGTAGCACAGGTAAGTATCACAGCACATAGTACCCGGGTTGGGGTCACACTAGTAGCACAGGTAGGTAGCACAGCACATAGTACCCGGGCTGGGGTCACACTAGTAGCACAGGTAAGTATCACAGCACATAGTACCCGGGTTGGGGTCACACTAGTAGCACAGGTAGGTATCACAGCACATAGTACCCGGGCTGGGGTCACACTAGTAGCACAGGTAAGTATCACAGCACATAGTACCCGGGCTGGGGTCACACTAGTAGCACAGGTAGGTATCACAGCACATAGTACCCGGGCTGGGGTCACACTAGTAGCACAGGTAAGTATCACAGCACATAGTACCCGGGTTGGGGTCACACTAGTAGCACAGGTAGGTAGCACAGCACATAGTACCCGGGCTGGGGTCACACTAGTAGCACAGGTAGGTATCACAGCACATAGTACCCGGGCTGGGGTCACACTAGTAGCACAGGTAAGTAGCACAGCACATAGTACCCGGGCTGGGGTCACACTAGTAGCACAGGTAAGTAGCACAGCACATAGTACCCGGGCTGGGGTCACACTAGTAGCACAGGTAAGTACCCACCTCACTCATTAGCCGGTCAGCCCCAGTGTTCTCCTCATCCTTGAAGATGATGTCCGGGTTGTAGTTCGGTACTAGTTCCCGGAACCGGTCCGAGCCCCGGCGGATCTTGCTCTCGCTCTTGCCGCTGGCCCCCAGGGTCTTCTCGGGCACGTTGGGCACGAACTGCTTGTAGTGGAGCGGCCGCAGCCGGTGAGTGGGGGGGCGGCGCCGGCCAACCGGACCCCGGCCAGGACCGCAGCACTGGACCGGCACCAGCAGGAGCCAGCAACAGCCAATCAGCAAAAGAACCCGGGCTGCTAGCATCTCCCCGCGGTCACTGCATGCCGGGCATCCCGCCGAGGGCACTGCCAACCCCTCACAGCCAACTACCCGGGCACACACACTGCCAGCCACAACTTGGGCACAAAGACTTCCAGCCAGCTACCTGGGCACTGCCAACTATCCCACCGGGCACTGCCAGCTATCCGGGCACAGTCCGCAGTGCGGGGAGCTGTCAGCACACGATGAGGGGCACCGAGGATCCCGCTTGACACTCGCACCTGGTCAGCAGGTAGGTGCCGTGCCCGCTGTGTATCAGTAAGTGTCCCCAGGCAGTGGGTGTCGGTGCCCAGTCTGTAGCTCAGGGAGGATCTCCCAGCGGGAGGTTGGCAGCACCTAGCACCGGGTGAGAGGGGGCACCCCGGCTCCCTCACTGGGGGGCATTGCCAGATAGTGCCAGCCGGGCACACAGTCCTTTAACAACGAAATGAGTTTCTCCAGACACCTGTCAGCTCCCTCAGGGGCCCCTTCCTCACCCAGCACCCCGACAGCGCAGGGCCCCCCGCAGTGCCCGCTGTGTGGACTCTCCCATGGGACTCTTTGCCCTCTCAGCACTTGTCTCCCAAACCCCAATTGTCTCCCAGCACCGGCTGTCTGCCGTGCCCCGGCCATGGTCCGGCTCATATAGGGACAAGGACAGTGCGCGCCCCCGACCCCCCACCCCCGGGCACGCCCCCAGGGCAATGACCGAGAGCGCGCGGCCGAGACACTCTGACTGACTGAGTCAGTGGAACATGGGCAACCCACCGGTGGCATGAAATGATTATTACTATGCTATAATATAATATTATCAAATTATGAGTTAATGTAAATAGTGTGTATTAAAAGGACAACAATTATATGAGTGTAAGAAAGTTTAATGAAGTTTAAGGAAGACATTGGCCCCAAATAAAAATGTATGAAGGAAAACAAATAAGAAAAGGCCATGAGTGTTTGTAACAAAAATAAATAATTTATTACGTAATTTTATTTCAGACTATAAAACACATCACTTTTCTGTGAAAGCATTGAATTATTTTTCACCAAAAAGATTTGAAATGCTCTTCATAAAAATAAAAAGCAGAACCAAAAGTGTAAATGGCTTAATCTAGTAACAATGGCAAATTTACAGAGTTATTCACCAGATCGAATTCAGTTTGAATTTCCAACATTTCTCAAAGTGAATTTCAAATTTACCGCCAAAATACCAAAACTGGAAGCATTACTGACTTGGAGAATTTTTCCGGTTTCGCTATTTTGGCGTTAAATTTGAAATTCACTTTGAATTTCTAATAATTCTCACTTTAGTGAATAACCCTGTAAGTGGCTGTTGATAACGTTCTATTTTGTTAATTTTCCCGTCCTTCCATCCATCCTGAATTGTATTTATCAAAATACCCAATGGAGTATTTAGCAAGTAAAATGTAAGAATAATAATTAACTAACTCCAGAGTTTTATTTCTTTAAGAATCAGCTGGTGGTTGTGGTGCAAGGAAACTATGGCCCGTGGCCTACACAGTTCATTTTTATTCTTTACTAAATGTTGTTTCTGTGATTTTAAGTATCTATTTGTTTATTTTTTTGGTCCATCTTCTACTGAATGTGCATTCAGTGTCCTTAATAGCAACAGTCATTAGGTTACTTCCACATATTTATAATAATAATAATAAAAACAGATATATTGATTTATCACTTCCTCTATTATTGCTGATATTCTACATCTTTTAAAGCACAAGTTATCAGAAGCAGATCTACGTTATGTTTTTCTAGGCTTTGTTGTGCTAGATTAGATCTGTGGCTATCATTGAAGCTTTCTATAACATACACTATATGGGCAAAAGTATTGGAACAATCCTCTTAGTTATTGAATTCAGGTGTTTCAAGCAGACCCATTGCCACAGGTATATAAAATCTAGCACCTAGCCACACAGTCTGCATTTACAAACATTTGTTTAAAAAAAATAGATGGTTCTAAAGAGTTCAGTGAATTCAAGCGTGGTTGTGTGAAAGGATACCACCTTTGAAAGTAAACAGTTGTTACAAATCAGTTGTTACATCGCTGTTACATATTCCACGTTCAACTGTAGATGGTATTATTGGAAAGTGGAAGCGTATAGGAACAACAGCAGAAGACCACATAAAGCCGCAGAGTTTTGTGAACAAGTGCTGAGGTGCATGGTGCATAAAACGGTATATGATACTCTGTTCCATAGCTGAAGAGTTCTAAACTTTGACTTGCATTAATATTAGCACAAGAACTGTTTGGAATGGTTTTCCATGGCAGCTACATCCAAGCCTCACATCACCAAGTACAATGCCAAGTGTCAGATCAAGTGATGTAACGCACACTGCCACTGGACTCTGGAGTTGTGAATCATGATTCTCTGTTTGGTAGTCTGATGGGCAAGTCTGGGTTTTTGGATGCCAGGAGAATGTTATCTGCCTGATGGCAGTGTGCCAGCTGTAAAGTACCAACTTTGTGGGAACAGTTTGAGGAAGGCCCTTTTCTTTTGCAGTATGATTGTGCCCCAGTGCACAATGAAAGGTTCATGTTTGGTGTGGAAGAACCTGACTGGCCCACCCAAGCCCTGACCTCAACCCCATCAAACACCTTTGAGATGAACTGGAATGGAGAGTGCAAGCCAGGCCTTCTCATCTAATATCAGTGCCTGAAGTTACAAATGTTGTACTTCATGAATCGGAAAAGATTCCCACAGAAGCACTCCAACACACAGGCTTGCACATGGGGTGTGCCGGGTGTGCCTGGGCACACCATAATCAGGGGCAGCTCTCTAATTAGCGGTTTAGGCCTCCTAAGGCTTCGCGCCGTCTGAAGGCCCCGCAACCACCTATCGCAGACACTGGTCTACAGCTCCGCAGTGTGCAGAACTGCAGACCATGTGTCTTGCAAGATCTGGCCAATCAGAGCGCTGCCGCGTGTTACCACGGCAATGCTCTGACCGGGTCTCACGAGATACGTGGTCTGCAGCTCTGCACACTGCAGAGCTGCAGACTGGATATCCTGCCAACCGGACTGCCGGGGAGTCCACACAGGACTGCCAGGGAGCCCACCGGACCGCCAGGGAATGAAGGACACTGGACCACCAGGGAAATAAGGTATTTAAACTCACCCCCTCCCTCCCAGTATCCCCCCTATGATCCCCTCCAGTATACCCCCCACACCACCACTACCCCTTCCCTCCCAGTATCCCCCCTCCCAGTATACTCCCTTCCAGTATTCCTCCGCACTATCACCCCCCACTCCGTATATTCCCTCCCTCACCACCATTACCCCCTCCCTCCCAGCATCCCCCCTTACTATCACCCGCTCCCAGTATACTCCCTTCCACACCACCATTACCCCCTCCCTCCCAGTATTCCCCCTCACTATCACCCCCTCTCAGTATACTGCCTCCCACACCACCATTATGTTTGTGCTTTAGGGTGCACACCCTAATGCAATAGGCTGCGCATGCCTATGCTCCAACATCTTGGGGAAAGTCTTCCCAGAAGAGTAAAAGCTGCAAAGGAGGTACCAACTACATATTAATAATTACATATTTAGAATTCGATGTCATAAAGGTCCCTGTTGGTGTAATGGTCAGTTATCCTTATACGTTTGTCCATTTAGTGTATATTCTAATATGTAAAGTATAGCTTTTCAGTCTCTTAAAGGGACATTATAATCACCAGAACAACTACAGCTTATTGAATTTGTTCTGGTGAGTAGAATCATTACCTTCAGGCTTTTTGCTGTAAACACTGTCTTTTCAGAGAAAATGCAGTGTTTACATTACAGCCTAGTGATAACTTCACTGGCCACTCCTCAGATGGCTGTTAGAGATCCTTCCTGGGTCATGGCTGCCTAAAATGCATCCAAACATTCAGTGTCCCCACCCTCTGCATGCAGACACTGAACTTTCCTCATAGAGATTCATTAATTCAATTCATCTCTATGAGGAGATGCTGATTGGCCAGGGCAGTGTTTGAATTGTGCTGGCTCTGCCCCGATCTGCCTCCTTGTCAGTCTCAGCTAATCCTATGGGGAAGCACTGTGATTGGATCAGGCTACCACTTCTGATGATGTCAGCAGACTGCTTGTTTTTCTGAGTCTAACAGCATGCAGAGTTACAGCTTCAGGCTTGAATACAGTAAGATTTTACTATATTTATGGAGGCATGAGGGGCCCAGCGGGGATAGATGGTGGTTTTAACACTATAGGGTCAGGAATACATGTTGGTGTTCCTGACCCTATAGTGATACTTTAATTGAAAATATTTTTGCAATACTATTAATTTATTAATATATTTACTGCATTTATCATAAACATCTAGAGTTCAGTAATGAATAAAAAGTAAATAAAATATACTTTGTTATCTGAAGTAAGTGGGAAAGTAAGAAGTAAGTGAGCTTTCCATCCACAGAGCACACATTGAGTATTAAGAGGGTTTTATTGGGGGCTAAGCGAACAGGATCCCTAATGTTTTCCATTTGCTACATAAAGATACACATCATATACAGATAGAATCTACACCGACTACAATAAAGAATCTTATTGGAACTCCTGATAAAGGTAGAAAGATCAGTTCACTACCAAGGGTCCATTTCTTTAGCTTATATCAAATATAATCCTTCTGTGAATTGTCAAAACCATGTACCTTTATGAAGGGGAGGATGTCCACCTATAATCCAACAAGCATTGCTTGGTAATACCAGAGCAATATCAGTATGAACCATATGACTTTTCAAAAAACAAAAAATATAGCTCTTCAACCAGACTTACAATAACACACCAGGATGTCACAGCCTTGCTGTATGTAAAGTTTTCCTCCTTCCTGCTAACCGTACACCTGCTGAATTCACTGTTACCTTCCCTACCCAATCTAGCATAAGCCCTTTGTATACACATTGTAAATGGATACCCAGGGGCGGACTGACCGGTCGGACACTGCGGAAGAAGGTGCCACCGGGTGGCCGGTCCGGAGGCACACTCTGAGAGGGCCGGCCGTGTTCCACGCTGGAGCCGCCGGAGCCTCGCCGGTCCGGCGGCACTCCTGTCACTAATGCTGAGGATGGAAGGAGGGAGGAGCATGTCTTTCCCTCATGCTCCCTTGCGTTTCCAACAATCCCCAGCACAGGATGTGGGAACCGCAAGGGAGCATGAGGGAGAGACATGCTCCTCCTTCCTTCCGTCCTCAGCATTAGTGACAGGAGTGCCGCCGGCCCGGCGAGGCTGCCACGTGGCCCGGCGGCTCCAGCGTGATACACGGCTGGGCCCCTCTGTCTTCTCTTGGTAAATGGGAGGGGGGGAAATAAAACAGAGAGGGGGAATAGATAGAGGCAGGGGAAGAGGGAAAAAACAGACAGTGGGAGAAAAGAGAGACACAGGGGGAGGCTAAGGAAAGACAGAGGGAGAGAGAGAGTGACACAGAGAAAGGAGGGAGAAAGAGACAGAGGGGGAGAGAGAGTGACAGAGAAAGGAGGGAGAAAGAGACAGAGGGGGAGAGAGAGTGACACAGAGAAAGGAGGGAGAAAGAGACAGGGGGAAGAGTGAGAAACGGGGGGAGAAAGAGAGGGAATAGAGATATGTTGGAGGGGGGAGAAAGAGACAGAG